TCAATATCTGAATCTGTGTGAGGCCGTTTGATGGATTCTCGTCGCCACTGTTGTGTGTTGATACTCTTCAATATCTGAATCTGTGTGAGGCCGTTTGATGGATTCTTTGTAGCCTCTGTTGTGTGTTGATACTCTTCAATATCTGAATCTGTGTGAGGCCGTTTGATGGAGCCTTCGTCGCCACTATTGTGTATTGATACTCTTCAATATCTGAATCTGTGTGAAGCTGTTTGATAGAGCCTTCGTCGCCACTGTTGTGTGTTGATACTCTTCAATATCTGAATCTGTGTGAGGCCGTTTGATGGAGCCTTCGTTGCCACAGTAGTGCTCTGATACTCTTTAATATCTGAATCTGTGTGAGGCCGTTTAATAGAGCCGTCGTAGCCACAGTTGTGTGTTGAAACTCTTCAATATCTGAATCTGTGTGAAGCTGTTTGATGGAGCCTTCGTCGCCACTGTTGTGTGCTGATACTCTTTAATATCTGAATCTGTGTGAGGCCGTTTAATAGAGCCTTCGTCGCCACTGTTGAGTGTTGATACTCTTCAATATCTGAATCTGTGTGAGGCCGTTTGATGGAGCCTTCGTCGCCACTGTTGTGTGCTGATACTCTTTAATATCTGAATCTGTGTGAGGCCGTTTAATAGATCCTTCGTCGCCACTGTTGTGTGTTGATACTCTTCAATATCTGAATCTGTGTGAGGCCGTTTGATGGAGCCTTCGTCGCCACTGTTGTGTGTTGATACTCTTCAATATCTGAATCTGTGTGAGGCCGTTTGATGGATTCTTTGTAGCCTCTGTTGTGTGTTGATACTCTTCAATATCTGAATCTGTGTGAGGCTGCTTGATAGAGCCTTCGTCGCCACTGTTGTATGTTGATACTCTTCAATATCTGAATCTGTGTGAGGCCGTTTGATGGAGCCTTCGTCGCCACTATTGTGTATTGATACTCTTCAATGTCTGAATCTGTGTGAGGCCGTTTGATGGATTCTTCGTTGCCTCTGTTGTGTGTTGATACTCTTCAATATCTGAATCTGTGTGAGGCCGTTTAATAGAGCCTTCGTCGCCACTGTTGTGTGTTGATACTCTTCAATATCTGAATCTGTGTGAGGCCGTTTAATAGAGCCTTCGTCGCCACTGTTGTGTGCTGATACTCTTCAATATCTGAATCTGTGTGAGGCTGCTTGATAGAGCCTTCGTCGCCTCTGTTGTGTGTTGATACTCTTCAATATCTGAATCTGTGTGAGGCTGCTTGATAGAGCCTTCGTCGTCAGTGTTGTGTGTTGATACTCTTCAATATCTGAATCTGTGTGAAGCTGTTTGATAGAGCCTTCGTCGTCAGTGTTGTGTGTTGATACTCTTCAATATCTGAATCTGTGTGAAGCTGTTTGATAGAGCCTTCGTCGTCAGTGTTGTGTGTTGATACTCTCCAATATCTGAATCTGTGTGAGGCCGTTTGATGGAGCCGTCGTAGCCACAGTTGTGTGTTGAAACTCTTCAATATCTGAATCTGAGTGAGGCCGTTTGATGGAGCCTTCGTCGCCACTGTTGAGTGTTGATACTCTTCAATATCTGAATCTGTGTGAGGCCGTTTGATGGAGCCTTCGTCGCCACTGTTGTGTGCTGATACTCTTTAATATCTGAATCTGTGTGAGGCCGTTTAATAGAGCCTTCGTCGCCACTGTTGTGTGTTGATACTCTTCAATATCTGAATCTGTGTGAGGCCGTTTGATGGAGCCTTCGTTGCCACAGTAGTGCTCTGATACTCTTTAATATCTGAATCTGTGTGAGGCCGTTTGATAGAGCCTTCGTCGCCACTGTTGTGTGTTGATACTCTTCAATATCTGAATCTGTGTGAGGCCGTTTGATAGAGCCTTCGTCGCCACTGTTGTGTGTTGATACCCTTCAATATCTGAATCTGTGTGAGGCCGTTTGATGGATTCTTTGTAGCCTCTGTTGTGTGTTGATACTCTTCAATATCTGAATCTATGTCAGACCGTTTGATGGAGCCTTCGTCGCCACTGTTGTGTGTTGATACTCTTCAATATCTGAATTTATGTGAGGCCGTTTGATAGAGCCTTCGTCGCCACTGTTGTGTGCTGATACTCTTCAATATCTGAATCTGTGTGAGGCCGCTTGATAGAGCCACCGTTTGATATTCTTGATCAGTGTTTTCGGTGTTTAGCGCTTGTAAATATTCGAAATATTTGGGCCTATATCGTTGGATAATCCTACATCCAATATTTATTGTCATTTAAAATTTTAAATACATTTGCCACACAATCATTCAATATGTGTATGTAATAAATCAATATTTAAGATTTATTTCCCCAATTTTATTTGTTTATCGTGAATTTTGTGAACGAGTCGTGAGTGTTTATGAATTCACTACGAACTCTCTATGGATACGAATTAGTAACAAATTCTATGGTTACAAATTCACCCTCAGCCCTTCAGTTTATGAAACCGCTATGTACCTTATGCTGTAGTGGAACCGTCATAATTGTCAATACCCGACACTATATGAAACCGTGCTGATCCTCAAAAACAATATCAATGCTTTGTCCTGCATAAGGGAGCGACCATTTGATTTTCCTCGGGTAGGGGACGGGACTTTTTAGATCAGCATTTTGTCTTAACAAACATTATTTTTTTCAACATAAACAGGTGCTCAATTTTCGTTTTAGTGAATAAACAAATCAAACTGTAATTTTTGGTATTTCTGGCGTTTATTATTCTTGGGCGAGTCCCTCCCATCTCTCGAAGTCCAGTGACTTCAGGTCCTGCTTGCAGACGTATTTAAAGGCGCCCTTTTTGATTCGGGATACATCCTATCCCTATCCTAAGTTTCAGGGGTCTGTTCAGGACCAGCATCAGCTTTCCTGCGATGCTTAGCAAAGAGATGCAGATGTTGTTGTAACAAACGCTTCAATCACCCTTCTTCTTGCACAAGGTGATGATGTTGCAGTCTCTCATGTCCCGGGGTATCACACCCTCTACCCAACACCGACAAAGCAGTTCATACAGGTGGCTTAGCATGAGCCCCTGTTCGCGGTTGACAGCCTCTGGAGGAATCCCATCCATTCCGAGCACTTACCCGAAAAACAGCCTCTTGATGCTCACCTCCTTCATGGAGGATTTCTCGTCCTGCTTCTCCATTACTCGCAGGTGCTACATGGGTTCCAGTGCAGAGTCAGAGATGTTGTTTTCACTTAAGCAGAGTAGAGCAGTGCTCAACCTATCTCTCCATCTGCCTGGCTCGATCACTGATCGTTTTGCCCGTTGCAGATTTCAGGAGCACTGTCTTGTTTAGATTAATGTTGTGTGTGGCGATTAACAATGAACAACACACACACAATAGTTGCATTTTACAAGTTTAGGTTACTATTGGGAAAACCCATATGTGATTAAAGCCCAGAATCGAGACATTGGCTGAACTTACCATTGCCAACCTTGTAGCATTCCTTGTCCATCTCCCTGATGAGAGTAGCCAGGTTGCTCACATGCTCCTCATTCAGGGACGTTCTGGTGTACAACACAATACATAACATTTCACATACTGAATGTAGCAGGAGTTAAACACCTTCTAGGCATAGTTCATTTTCTTTACAAGTTTGTGAAATCTTTGAGCAAGAGTGAGTGAGTGAGTGAGAGATGTTGTTTTCACTTAAGCAGAGTGGAGCAGTGCTCAACCTATCTCTCCATCTGCTTGCCTCGATAACTGGTCGTTTTGCCCGTTGCAGATTTCAGGAGCACTGTCTTGTTTAGAGTTGGACTCATGTCTTTCTTGATGCTGTTGTCCACACCTTGGATGATCTCATCAGTCGATAACTGAATGCTCTCATCGACATGCAGCAAGTTGTTATTCACGGATGTTTTTTGCTGTTTTCTGTTATTTGTTTCCGTCTTGAGAGCTCGCAGGGTCCTCTGGTAGGGGGTAGCATTTGAATTCTATTAGCGCTGTGTCGTTTATACAGTGACAGGGATGAGCTCACAGGAGAGGGCTGTAAGCCAATCATGAGTTTTCCCCTGTTTCTTCCCAAAGGCCGAGAATGAAGTGACGTGGGAAGTGTCTCTCAGATGACCCCATCTTTGCTTGTCATGGTTCTGTAACCAGATAACCAAACAGGACATTAGTAAAGGAGTCCAATCTCTGCGGGTGTGAGGTCTTGCTCACATCGATATGAGTCTTTTGCTCCAGCTTAGTGTGGTCCATCCTCTTTGCCTTGAATCTGATCCTAATAGTCGGCACTGAGGTAAAAAAATTAGATAAGCACTTTTTTTGTGATGATCAGGTCCAGTTGGTGCCAGAGATTGGACTAAGGTGTCTCTAGGACACCTTGTGCCAAGGCTTAGACTGTGATAAAGAATTGGTGCTGCCCTGGTAGTGGTGTGTCGCAACTTAAGAAGTTGTCCATTTTCTTTTATCTTGGCAATTCTGTATTGACCCTGACAGCAGGGCTGGGGTTCATGGTCAGTACCCACTCTTTCACTGAAGTGAACAGTAGCAGCTGTTCCATCATTGATGTTGGTCTTGAGCTGGTCATAGAACTGGAACTCGTCCTTCGGGTAGGAACGTTCTATTAGATGTGACAAATTGTAGGGTCAATAGTCCCTCCATTTCATTTTTGCCAATCTCCATCATTCAAAGCATTGGGTCCTTGACGGCAAAGCTGACTCCATGCTGTCTTGTTTGATCAACTGCTGTAGCATGGCAACATCCATGTGCAGTCTTCAGAGTTCTTGGACTGTCAACTTCCTACTTGCTCTGCACATGCCTAGTTTGGAAAGGCTGCGGTATGTGTGTTTTAGTGCTGCCTTTTTAATGTTTTTGGCAGTATGCTCTTCCTTGTGTATTGCAGACATATGACAGCGTTCTGTTGCAGTCTGTCAGTTTTCATTGGTAGGCCCGTTCCAAATGTTTTAAATTATAATACTGTTCAAAAAAGGGTTAAACCCAACTCGCATTCAATTTTTTTGGGAGAAAAAACAGACACGCATACATATTCCACAATATTTATTTACAATCGTAACCTTTATTATTAAAATCCTTATATCAGACACTTATCTTCATTATTTAATATTATGTATGTATGACTTCCTTTATGAACATAGATATATTTTGTTATCTGATTTTTTAACTCTGTAATGTGTGTTGATATTTGACATGCTGTGGCAATGGAAGAGTCTGTACAAATCAAAAGCGAAAATACTGACTTCATATATTGTAATTTCACAGTCATATTCAAGTGATATAAATAAATCTGGTGTTTAAATACAATAAAAATTAATTCAACTGCTCAACAACACTCGGATCATTTTGCTTTGGAAAAATAGATAAATCAACAAACATCACTGTCAATACTGAATTGCTTTGTTTCAAAATAAGTTAACAATAATACAATCACAGACATGTACAATAGATATACAAACAGTTTTGGTATTGAAGGGAAGGCAATGACAAGGGAATGCTGACAGGTTATAGGCACATGCAGGGAGGGAAGGTTGAAATGTACATGACATTGACAACAGTTGTACATGTCACTAGCAGGCATGTAACTGTACAAGTGCAGCCAGCCATGTATGCATGCTTAATACTGTGTGAAGGTAGGGAATGGATCATAAAAGGGATAAAAATTAAATTCTCTTCAGGCTATTCACGTGTATCAGTGACATTGAGCTTGGGCAAATTTGGCATGGGAAGTGGAGGAAGGTGCATTATGTTGTGGCCTGTCAATGTTTCTTCAGAGGATCTCCAGCTGAAGCCTGTAATAAATCATACAACAAGGTGTTGTAGTCCCATCGTCATTCATATCTTTGACAACTTATATTTACTCAAGCAATGATAAAAGAATTAATTCTTTTTCAGTTACCCAGTATACGTAATAATGGCATTTATCTTTTATTGGTTTTAAATATGGATTGTGTCAAATGTCAATACAGCTAGTCCTCAGATCACCAGAATAGTGACTTTTACAATTGATATAAAACAAGCACACTCACAAATGTTTGGCATCCATGGTCAAACTAAGACATTCTAAGTTGATACAAGGGTAGGTACTTAGCTCTGTAAATAGCAACAGAATGGTTTTGTGGAACACGTGTGAAGGGACTTCAGTGTTACATCACAGTAGGAGGAGCTAATATTCTACATATGTACAGAAACTATTGTGTTTACTGAAGCAATGATTACTAAAATAAATAACTGCAAAATTTAAAGAAGGAAGTGATATATTATCCTATATTTGGTCAGATGTGGATAAACAGTTCAGGTATATGAGTAGTTGAGTATATCTCTTACAACATGTATAACTATCCATTGTTAAAATATATACACTGTCCTATTTTGATTGGTTAGTTCAAAAATTCCTTATTTTTATTACTTCATAGTAGGTTCTTGAAACTGTTCAAGGTCTTTTCCTTTTGACCATATGTCTATGTGCTAGGATTCAATTAAGAATTAAATAAAAATACCACTTTAAACCGTCTCATTCCAAAATCAGATCACAATATTGATTCATTGATTACAATAAAATACTTGACAAAAGCCTGTATTGAGACCTTTAAAATGCATCCTTCGACTTCATAACTAGCTTCACATATTTCCAGCACCATACATTCCTCCACTCACACGACTCGAGAAAATATGAAACAAAGTTTAGATCTCAATGGGTTTGGGCACAGGTTTTCTGATATGTCTCATAGTTGAGCCAGCTTCATTTGGTTTGAACGGAGCATGAGAGCCATATGGTCGGGGTATTGGCAGTTCACTATCATCATCAGGAATGTAGGCGTTGGGGCGAGGTTCGGCAGTTGTGTACAGGCCCCCAGCCAGCTTGTACTGCTCTTCCTCTTCTGTGGCCTGAGAACAGAGTAAGGTGGTGGTTTAGTGGTGGTCTCTCACAATGATTCATACTAAATCTCTGTATCTTAAAAACTGTCTGTTTGTGTAGGACAAAACATGCCAGAGGGTTTTTATGCGATTTAACATTTATCAACATTTTTATTTTTCAAACATACTTTCCATGGACCATAGGAAATGGATGTAAAATACCTGTTGCTGGCATACAGTACTTAAAACATTCTTAAAAGCATTGAGACTTATCAGTGCCTCTGTAAACAAGTGCTACACTCACTGGGCTACAGATACGAAGGTTGCATGTTTGATCTTTGGGAATATAAAGCAAAAATTTGGCATTTGATTTTACATTTCATTACATTGTGTTCAAATGCAAAATAAATTTTAAGCGAGAAACATTCATATGTTACAATATAAATGAAAATTGTGTTGATAAAATGCTCGGGATATTCAGCAATATTTCAGCTATATTAGCCCCTTAATCATCTGTTCACGTCTTTTGGTGTGACACGACCGTGGATTGAACCCTGGCACTTCCGCTCTCTATGCAGATGTTCCACCACTAGACCACGGAGGCCATCGGTATTATTGTAAGGTCCCAATGTAATAAGTATCAGTTTCCTCTTGGTTATAATACAAATCTTAATTTTCTATGATCCTTTTCAATGCAAAATACAATAATGAACTAATGTTTGATGGAGTATCAAAAGTTACCATCCCTGAAGTATTAAAACAATGCCTACTTGATATATCATCTCAATGTCAAGTGCCATTAATGTAATATTACATGGCACTTTTTGACATAATATTCTTAGCACTGTGATTGTCAGTACCTAATATCACAAAACCTGTGATGTAGACCTTATATTGTTCAAGTTGCATGCATAATTTACTGTGTCCTAGTTCAATGACATATTAATATATTCCAATGCCTTCTGACCCTACTAAACATCCACTCACAGCTCTGATGTCATCCTTGTCCTGCATCCTTCTCATCTCATCTCGGACCATTCGCAGCCATTCCCTCTCACACTCCTCGGATGGTGGGTCTCCCTTCTCCATCCTCATGTAGCTCTGCTCCAGCTCCGTCTCCCGGCCACGCAGGTCCTGCTGTAGCTTCATGGCATTGGCCTGGTTCATAGACAGCTCCGACACCAGCGCCATCATCTTCCGTGTTGTTTCTTTGATCCTTGCTTGCACATCATTAACCTGTAGAGAGTGTGAATGAGTGAATGAGTGAGTGAGTGAGTGAGTGAGTGCGTGAGTATGGGTTTACGCCACTTTTAGCACTATTCCAGCAATATCATGGCAGGAGACACCAGAAATGGGCTTCACACATTGTACCTATTCGGGGAATCAGACCCAGGCATTCAGGGTGACAAGCGAACGCTTTAACCACTAGGCTACCCCACCTCTCGAGTGAGTGAGTCAGTGAATACTGCTATACACTGTAGACAGCAATAATACAACCGTATCAGGAAACTTTGAAAAGTAATTGACCCTTGGAAATAACAAGTGGTCAATAATGTGTGCAACAAACCACTTTGCCTTGGCTCCATGACCATATAGTTCAATTTTCATGGAATAGGAAGGAATGTTACGAAACACCAACCTTCTTGGCTAGATCTAGGGTGTCCTGTTTCCCGACTTCAGCTTTCCCTCGGATGCGATCTGCTAGTCGGTTGACCTGTTCAAAGATCAAGTCTTTTTCCAGAAGCTGCTCTTCTTTCTCAGCTAATCTCATCTCAAGCTGAAAACGAGAAGAAAAGAAGCATGAAACCTCTACTCACTTGCATTAGAACAACACGGTATGATATGACATTGCTTCAGAGGCGGATGTAGGATTTTCAAAAAGGTTATGCACCATCTCCCTGAGGAGGGAGTTAACTGACATTAAAAGTCCAGTTTCCACCCTTGCCGAACTAGCCTGGAGTTATGGAGTTATATTTTGTCTGGATTAACGGGTCTATGCATAGCCCATTCAAAATCCCATTATGAAATTGACATCTGGTTCAGCAACATGGCAACTGCATTGTTCGATTGCAGGATTTGCAAAACATGTGTACCGCCAAACAAGATATATTTTCCAAATTTTTTCATGTTCTTAATCGAGGTGCTCATGTGACTTGATGTACTTCAAAAAGTAAGACCAGTTTTATTACAACATAGATTTTGATTATCGATCAGATCACCTTGACTGAAGCAAATGCAAGTGATATGAGAGATGGAATCTGATTGGTCAATAGGAGGGATATGGAAGGGACAAAACTCATAATAGCCACTGGTGGTGCTACGATTGAGCCCAAACATTTCAGCCAAGTTCAGCAAGGGTGGAAACTGGATTTTACAGTCAGTTAACTCCCTTGCCTCAGGAAGATGGTACAACAGAGTGGAAAGATTTGTCTGAGAATACTGTAGGAGTTCAAAGAATGTTACATGACGTTTTATGAAAAAATATAACATCATCAAATTATTAAATTCTTTTCAGTTTTGACAGATGTGACATTCTACTTCTAGTTTAGATGTATTTCCGATTTCCTTACCCAGTCATGTCTATGTGTCCAGCTGAAGTTAAATAAACAGAAACCTGGCCTTCCTTAATTCACATATGTTAATTCTTCCTCTTGCATTATTGACAACTTCCATTTGATCAAAATATACTGATCCAATTTAAATAACTGCTCCATAATAACTTTATTATCCGAAACCTTGAAATATTTCATTTAAATGCCATGACTTTTCCAGGGTTGTAAGACTGCCTGTAACTCCTACCTCCTCCACTTTGGTCTGTATCTCTGCCGGAGTAGGGTCGTGACCCTCCAGGTATCGGACTCGGGTCTCATCGTAAGGGTTTTCCAGGTCCTTCTCCAGCTCCAACATCCGGTCCTGACACTGCTGCAGCTGTAACACGAGACATCACTCACTCATCATCATTATCATTATCATTATCATCATACATACTATAGCATACTGTGTAGCAAAAGTGTTTGACAATTTTTCTGAAGAATAACTATGAACTGTTGATTATATAGAGAGGTTAAAATATATGGAAACAACTTACAAATTATGTCTTTGGAATTACAGAAAAATATTAATTGAACTGGACGAATGTTTTTGAGAGGTTTTCTCACCTGGATCTGCAGTGTGACGAGTTCCTGCTCAAAAGCACGCTTGTTTGGCTCCATTTTCCTCATGACCTCACGACCTCGTTTCTCCTCATTCAGCTGCATCTTGAGGAACCTAATCTCTTCCTCTCTCGCCTTGAGCTCCACTTCTCCGTTACGAACCATCTGATCTGGAGACACAGAATCAAATATGCTTTTAGCTTTTTGACAATTTTAACAGGAGTTATCCCCCTTGATGCACTCAAACAGTGTCTTGCACCAATATACACTGTATTTTCTTGAGTATAGTGTGTACCAAGCATTATGCACACACCTATCTAGAAGATGCAGTATTTTGGTAAAAAACTAAAAAATAACTAAATCAAATGATCATCTGACAGGACTTCTGAATTACTGACACTCCCCAGGGGAGCTAAAAATACAAATATCCATACACTGATTGGTTTGTTTGTTTGTTGTTGAGAGCCACACTCAGAAATATTCCAGCTATTTGACGGCTGTCTGTAAATAATCAAGTCTGGACCAGACAATCCAGGAATTGACATCTTGAGCATCAATCCACGCAAATGGGATACCATGACATGCATCAACCGAGCAGCGAGTCTGACCTTTCGATCCCATTAGTCACCTCTTACAACAAGCACAGTCGCCTCAAAATGTTATCAAGGTCCAAATGTTGAATATGGCATAAAAATCCATATAGCTAAATTACATATTGCCTTGAACAACTAATTAAATTGGATGGAATGGAACCGAAACATGACAGACAACATTCAGTTCAGGTTAGCTAAAACTGGTAAAAAGTATCTCATCCAAAAGGTCATTGCAAAATTGAAAACTGTATTTGAATCTTTTGAACAATTTCAGTTGCCATCTTTGGTGGAATCAAGTTTCAGCTTCTTTGTGACTGTGTAAGGATCATGCATCATTTTTTTGTTTTGATTTTTTTGTTGTTTCACCCCACATTCAGCAGTATTCCAGCTATCTGATGGCGGTATGTAAATAATCGAGTCTGGGGCAGACAATCCAGTGATTGACATCGATCCATGCAATTGGGATACAATGTCATGTATCAGCCTGACCACCTGGTCCCGCTTCTTTCGACAAGCATAGTCGCTTTTTACAGCAAAATACCTGAATACCTATTCTACCCCAGATCTTCATGAGTCACATGCTTAGTATCTATATTGGAATCTCTGGAACAATTTCAGTTGTCATCATTGGTGGGATCAAGTTTCAGCTTCTTCGTGACAATGCAAAGTCAGCGAGCCTGACCACCGGATCCTGTTAGTTGCCGCTTACAACAAGCAGTCGCCTGTTACGGCAAGCATGGGTTGCTGAAGACCTATTGCACCCTGGATCTTCACAGGTCACGGGTACTCACCTTGGATGTTAACCTTCTCATAGAAGATGCACACTTCTTCATTCCTCTCAATCAGCTTAATGCCCCTGAAAATGTCGGGAGTGAATGTCATTTGCTATGATGATGGGTCATATTATTAAGTTTACCAACACTATCCGTGCCATATCAGCATACAAGTCTCCACCATGGTTTATAAGAAGAAATCTGGAAATAAGTTTTTGAGATTTTGTGGATTCTGGTGCAGAATAAGGACCTAATTAAATGTTGTCATAAGAAACCAAAGTTCACCTTGCACTGATATGTGTGACCAGTCAGTAACCCAACAGATATTGATAGTTAGTTACTTTGTGTGAGTGAGTGAGTGAGTGGGGTTTAACGCCGCTTTTAACAGTATTCCAGTTATATCACGGCGTGTCAGCTTAATGTGGGAGGAAAGCCCAAAGTGATGCAGGTCTCAGACATTTACCACTTCGGTGAAACCCACGAGCATGGGCATGGTGCTGACAAACCTAGAAACATAATCGGAGTGAACCGGCATTCAAACCCACAATCATAGGTTTCTGGTGTGCCCAAGGGACCCAACACAGCGAATTGCGGTGCCTCAGACGACTGGGCCACCCGTGCCCCCAGCTCATACAAGAACATGTGTTGTCAACATGATGTGTGGCCTGGGGGTCCGGAAACTGTCATATGCGCCGGACATGTCCGATTGGGAATCTCAAATGTCCGTTTTAAAATATTGCTTACCGGACATTTTAAAAAGTATTGTCCGGACATTCTTAAATTTTGACAGGACATGATCAACAGTTTAAAAAGGACTGAGCAGTTTCTGTCTGCAGTTGCAACACAATGAAGATTAACTACACTGACAAGCTTTGTTTGTTTTGATTGCTGTAAATACATCGTACCTACATGATAGTCCAATCGGTCAATCACTGTAATAGGCAATAAACTGAGTTGACACTGATTAATCGAGGATTAATTACTGAGAACATCTTGTTAATTTGAGTGAAAGGTGTTTACAACTGTACATTAATACCTTGCATCATCGATGTACCTCATTATCGTCACCATGCTACGATACGTAACCTCAGACAAGAAGCGAAAGCGTGACGACAGCCAGTCGACTGATGCAGATCAGTCGAGCGGATCTGCCAAACCCTCAAAGTCTGGACGATCATTTTGTAAGTCGTGGCTAACGACTTTCACTTGGTTGACATACAATGAGGATTTGCAGATTTTATTGTTTTCAGTAGCTAGTCGTATATTGAATCTTGATTGACCGCCATTTTGCTTTCTCGGACAATCGATATCCAATTTTTTTATGGTCAATAAATAAGTACAGATGAAAAAAGTATTCAAATAACTATTGCTATCAACAATATTTTTGTATTTGTGATTAAATGATCTGTCTTGCTTTTAAAAAAATCTTTAGTTTAAAAAAAAAAAATTCCCGTGAGGTCACGTGATAACCAAATATGGGATAATAGTCTCGATCCAAATGTTACAACGCGTACACTTGAGCAGACTCATGAATATTAATTAGACCATTCACTACATTAACAGATCGTTATTACAAAAGAAAAAAACGTATGTTTTCCATGTAAATCTAAAATGATATTATTTGTTATTAATTGTCCGGTGAATTAAACAATTTAAATTGAAACAATTCATAATTCATCATATTATGAATACGTAAACTTGTAATGTGTGTGAAAAGTCATACTAAAATACGCTATTTGAAGGGGGCGTGGCCTAAATGCAAATGTCCGATTGGGATTTTAAATTTTCCGGACCCCTGGTGTGGCCCCCTAGTTGCTTTGAATGACCCACACTTGATTATTTACATGTTGCCATGATATACCTGTATGTGTGTTTGATTATTTAAGTGACCTGAGTCAACCAAATTTTACGACATTAGATATCATAATGGCTGCCAGTATAAGGAGACACAACATAACAGCTGAGTGCTATAACACCAAACTACGAGAGGTTATCTAGTGTTTCATTGCTTGACAAATCTGCCATGGTACGTTTTCTGTTCAATCCATGTAACACAAGAAAGTTCAAAATAACTGGTAGAACATCAAATAGAAAGCAAAATCATGAAAGCCACGTTATTTATTGTAACGTTTTTATATCAACAATTAACAAGATAAATTTCCCCGACGCATATCAGAATTCACATATACTTTCAATACCTAGTTAATATATTCATTAGAATGCTTTATTCATGATTGAATCTATAAATGAAACTGATTTGTTTTAATGATTAGGTCACTTGGAGGCAGCTGACCTGAGTACCACACCCCAGTAGTTTTGGACAACTTAGGTCAACCAAAGTCTGACTTGAATGAGTTAATATGAGCCAACATTGGTCAACCAAGGTTAACTTGAGTTATACCTTGGTTCACCTGTGTCGTCCAGGGTTTTGAAATCGAATGCAAGAAGCAACATTGCTGACTGTCCTATAAAACATCTCCCTCCTCACCTGTCGTTGCGATGCTGCACTGCTCTCTCGTATCGCTTCCGGAGTCTCACCATCTGCTCCTCGGCCTGGTTGATCATCAAGTTCAGTTTGGAGATGTCCATCTTCTGCTGCTCTTGCTTCTCCCGCATCGCCTCCTCCACCCGCTGTTGCTTAGCAACCTCCTTCCGCATGCTGTCACGCAGCTCAAGACTTGCGCGGTGCTTCAGGCGATGTTTCTGAAGTTGTCTAGTGGAAGCAAAGGTTTTATCAAAGAAGTGTAATATATCTATGTACCTACTATTGGGGCCATTTTCACTAAACTTTGCTCTTGTACATAAGAAAAGACAGGGAAAACAAATGAAAATTGGTGCAAAGCAATGATTCACTGACCATCTGCCCTTGTTCTACTCTCACCTGTCCTTCTGCATGACTGCTGTACGGAGGATCTCGATCTCATTTTGCAGGATCTTGATCTTCTCCTTCATCTCAGCTGCCTTCTGGGTGCTGGTCTGGATGAGGTTCACACACTTGTTTCGCTCATTCTTGATGACGTCATACAGCTTGGCAAACTCCTTCAGTCTGAAGAAACATTTCAACACTTAAGAACTCACCACTATCATTGTTGTCTAAAAATTGCATTATCTGAGATTCAAACCAACAATCAGCAGATCCTAGAAGCACTAAGGGACACAACTCATGTAAGATTACTGGAGTTTCACTCACTTCTGCTGCATCTCCTGATGCTTCTTCTGGTGGTCTTGTATCTGCAGCTGCTTCGTTTTGAGGTCCTCCACAGCCCGGTGGAAGCGCATCTCCGCCCTCATGAAGTCTCGAGCCTTCTGCTCTCTCTCATCAGCCTAGTAAACAAGCACATAGTTTGTAAAACAATCTGACAGAATCATTCCAAGTGAAATTGTCTCAGTTATGAGACATGAGTATGTGTGAGTTGGGTTTAATGTTGCTTTTAACAGTACTCCTGTTAAATCACGGCATCTCAGTTTAACAAGGGAGGCAATCCCGAAGTGATGCAGGACAAAGATGTTTACCACTTCAGTGAAACCCACGTGCCTGGGTATGGCGATTATAAACATAATCACAAAAAATATCTGTTTGTGGACAACTCATTAGGATTTGTTTGTTTGTTTATTTCTTGTTTAACACCACACTCGGAAATATTTCAGATACCCGTATATGAAGGGAGTCCGTAAATAATCGAGTCTATACCCGACAATCCAGTGATTGACATCATGAGCATCGATCTACGTAAATTGGATACAATTACATGCATCAATCAAGTCAGTGAGCCAGACAACCCAATCCCGTTAGTTGTCTCTTAAGGCAAGCATGGATTGCTGAAGACCAATTCAGACCCGAATCTTCACTGGGGCTTTCATAAGGAAGTTAGTATTTTCTATATCATTTGATGCACATAATATCTCAGTGAACTGGGCTTTGTCTCTTCCTATCAAGGTAAAGTTGCTTTAAAATGAATTGATGTCACACCTCAATCACTTCAGACATGTCACTGTTTTGTCTGTTATTTCATAATGAGAATTAATCAATCATGTTTGATTAATGAATGATGTGAGAGTTCTGATTTTTGATTGAAATATTCAAAGGGATAACCATCACTATCATATACTGACCTTGATAGCAGCGAGTCTGGTGAGCTCCACGACTTCAATGCGCAGATCACTCTGCTCAAACAACAGGTTCTGCTCATCGGCTGCACTTGCCTCAAGCTTCACATGCTCCACCGCCGTCAGGGAGTTCTGTAAACAAGCACATCGGTGTAGTCAGTGTATGGTGGATGCTGCAGTGTATCTACATCTCCAACACAAACGGAGAGGTATGGTGTGGACATTCATTGGCAGTGTTTGACACTGACCAAAATTTGTCAGTGGTCTAAAGGACCAGCACACAGAAAAATCTACTGGTCCTGTTGGATCTCTGTTAGACACAATGGTCCTGACCAAAAAGGGTTTTAAAAGGTGTTACTTTGTTGTGCAATTAGAATGAGAAACCAGCCAGGATGATAACCACTGTACCACGCAGGGTTGTTTACATTGCTGGCTTTGCTTAGAGTCCCCAAAATCAGAGTAGACCACTGGACCAGCATTTATTTAATTTTACCGGCCCTTAAGAAAACACGCTAGACTTGGACCAGCAGACCAGTGTTAGTGTTGAACACTGATTGGTAGTTCAAGGTCTAACAACAGTAACTCTCCCACTTCTTAATATATGTATTTTTCTAACTTCCTTATTTGAAAAAACAATCTGCTTACAAAACTGAACTTATTTAAACTATTATTATCAAATCTGAAATATAACTAACCTATAACCAAGTTATCTAATCATCAACAATGTCCAACTAACAAAGAAAATAAAAGGAAAAGTTGTTAAAAAAATGTCCTTAGAAAATACAAGTTCTTAAAACATCTTCGTTATATCGCCTCTAACACACAAAATGCAGAAGCCCTTCTCTAAAATTGTAGGACTGCACATTTCTGTAAGACTCTTCATTAGTCATTTGTATATTCACCACGACCTCTAGAGACTGACCTGCTGAGCAAGAGCTCTCTTGGTTTGTTCCACCTCCTTCTGCAGATCTCCCCTCTTCTTCACCAGAGAGCCATCGTCTCGCGGGAGTCCATCAACCTGAAATAGAAATAACACAATGACAGTCTTTCGCCCTTACCTGTTTGAAGCCCATCATGTCACATCTGGCAGTGTACATATCACTGTTGTAACAAAAACTACAACATCTGAATGTGTTTGTGTGGAGCTGATGTCAAGATGGACGACTTGACAAAGAATGTCCCCCACTTACAATCAACATTCTTTATCAATGTATGAATAATCAAACTTATTGACTATGACTAGTTGCAATTGAAGTCCGTTACCTGTGACTTGATCTTTTCATGGATAGACTTTGTATGGTTGAGTGATTCATCGGCCACGCGGAGTTGTAATTCAGCCTTCTTGAGGTTACGGAGGTCTCGATCCTTTTCTCGACTCTTGCGGGAATGAACATCATGAAGATTTTTCTTCTCCAGATGAACATGCCTCAAGTTCAAGTCAAGTGTTGCCCTGTACACAAAAAAGAAATATTTTATGTGACTCTCCTGTGTAGATCCAAGTTAGAATAGGTCTTCAGCAACCCATGCATGCTGTAAAAGGCGATTATGCTTGTTGTAAGTGGTGACTAAATGGATAGTTTCAGGACTATCCATGCTTTGGTGAAATCCATGAGCACGGGTATGGTGCTGACAAACCTAGAAACATAATTGGGGCGAACCGTGATTCGAACACACGATCATATTTTCTGGTGAGCCCAAGCCAAGCAAATCAGCACAGCGAATTGCCATGCCTTAGACAACTGAGACACCCCTGCCCATCATGCAATTGGAGACCTTCCTTGATAATCCAGTGTGTTATGTCTCATCTTATAATGCTAAGTACCCTGGACCCCTGACTAACATCTAGAAAAATAAACAGGTGTTAAATTCTAGTTATAAAATAGACCCACGAAGATTTGGGTAGACAATAGGTCTTCAGCAACCAATGCTTGCCGTAAAAGGCGACTAGTGAGATCGTTTGGTCATGCGCGCTGACTTGGTTGATGAATGTCATTGCATCCCAACTGCGCAGATCGAAGCTCATGATGTCAATCAGTGGACTGGAATCACATAGGTGGAATATTCCTGAGTGCAGCGTAAAACATCAACCAAACAAACAAAGTTATCAAATATAATAAAAAGGAGCCCGGAGACTTTCTTCATTTTCAGATTGACACTGCAGTAATCTAGACTTGCCAAACATCATAGACTGGCATTGGCTGCATTGGATATATTTGTTTCAGGGTCTAAACAAGCTGGACTCATTCTCTATGATAGCTTTGTTAAGGTAGTGAAACATCACCGTTTCCATCTCTCTTATCAGTTACTACCCAGTTACATATGAGTGTACGATTAATATTGAACAGCTTTTTTCTAGTGTCATTTGAATCAGACTCAAACCAAGGCTATGGTAGTAAATAGATCTAGTGAATTTGTAATAAAAGAATTAAATAACTCCACATACATTGTCTGTGCAATGTTGTTTCACACATTAACAGCATCAAATTTCTTTCAAACATTAATGTTCATCTGAGAATTCAGCAGAGATAATCAACACAACCCATGAAGCCTGATGAGTGTTATTATTGACCATGTTTACAGTTCGACACTAGTAGTATAGGTTTTGAGTTTTATCAAAAGTTAGTACTGGGAATTCTTCCGATGCATGTTGTCATATTGTATATACAGACAAGAAACTCTTCAAATATTCTGAGGCAGATTTCTATCTGTTGCTCTTTGTAAACAGGTGTCCCTGTAAAATACTTTCAAACAACATTGGTTTTGGGTTCTGGGCCACCTCTCAATCTATTCATTGAGTATTGTTATGCGTGAGCATTATTTATATTAACCAAAGAGTAACCATGTATTGTAAGGAAAGAGGTTGAGGTTATAGTGAAGGTGGACCAGAGGTTGACCTGTGATTGATTAGCTTTGCCACTGTGGTGGGTTGGTATGCTGCTACATTGAGTTGCTTATGTAACCCTGTAAGCAAAATATGTTGTGTTGTTTAGAGGCTTGGACATGTGACTGAGTTAGAGGGGGCCTGGTTGTTTATACCTACCTCCAGGCATTGGAGTTGGGAGAGTTTTATTTTTTGATAGCTGAGATGGGTCCAGGACGGAGATCTCACACTTACTAGGTCCCTGTATTGACCATATCGGGACCATATCGGGACCATATCGGTCTGTGACATTCCTACCAGTGGAATCTTGTGACATATTCAGCCATGTCAGTCATTTGTGAGGGACAGAAAAGTGGAACTGTGATTTGAGTTAGACAGAGTCGTTGGATAATAGAACTGTGCTCGGAATATGTTTGTGACCAGGATCCAGGCTGTGTCCGATTGGTGGAGTTTCTGTATCACAGTGAGTATTCACCTGCTATGCTTTGCCACATATGTGAGTTTGCCAGATTGTATTTGCAATTGTGTAAATATTGAATAATTGTAGGTTTTCGTAATAACTAAATATTGTTGATAGTGAAACTGAGTTGGGTCCTTCCTTTCGTTACTTGAGACACTGTGTCACTCGTAACAGTCTGGTCTCATGTAACATACAGTATATATCAATCATAAGCTCACACAAATACACCCACCTATCTCCCAGCAGCATTGCTTCACGTTCCTTTGCATGCTCATAATCTTTCTGTAATAAATCAAGCTCTCTTTCTCGCTCGTTCAATATGGATCGCTGTTCTTCTAATTCCGAGTCAAATTCTAATTTTTCATCTTCCAACTTCCTCCGTTTTGTTTCCAGGATTTTGGATGCCTCATTTAATTCATCATACTCTGATGCCAGAGTTTGGAGTTTGTTGTCCATTTCACTGAAACACCAATATCTCAATGTAACATATTTCGACCTGAAAAACTGACAATCACATTCCAGCATAGCATGTTTATACTAGCTCTGAACACTGACTGTTAACTCATTTGAATAACTACTATCGCTGTAACAAATGTTATATTTGGGATAACACTTTCTTGGTAAAGTACACATTCTAGTACATTTCCCATCTGGATTTGAAGCCACACTCTCAGAGTGAGGCACCTTATCGCCAGCACAGACAGTCAGCAATCTAACCCACTCAGCCACTGAGGCTTCCACAAGAAATGGAAGTCTGACAACTGGTAGTCCAGATCAATACTTTGTATGCCCCTCTGATAAGTGAAAATTGGCACGGCTCTCATCCCTGCTTTCAAAGTTAGGAAAATATCTTCACAAACATCAACATTTCACCCATCTTATCATATTTGACATTAAAAAATCAAAACTTACAAGAAGGGGCTATCGGTATTGTTAAAATCAGATCTTTCCCCTGATATGCTATCACTCTGCATGAACATTCAAGTCTTCATGGAAGGTCACATGAGGTGAACTTTCTAATCAGCCAATCAGTGTTAAGGCTTCAAATTATCAAAACTAGCGAGCAAAACATTCCGAGCAGCATATCTGATTTCTGTATACAAAAACATCAACATAAACAGCCAGTTCCAAATGGAAATAATACAAATTTTTGTTGGAGTATTTTATCACCTGTTTCTGTTGTATCTAAGCCCATAAGGAAGAAGGTTTTCTTTTATTAAGATCAAAATTTTCAAATAACGGTGGTAAATAAATAAACTGAATCTTTTTAGAAAGCTGACATCTGATTGGCTCAAGAACCCACACATCCTTCATTTTGTTTTGGAAGTCTAATGTGGAGGGTTTGTCATGTTTTCACACAGAGAGGTATCATATTGGAATAAAATATCTGATAAAAGATCTCATCAACTGATCTACTACAGTATTCATATGTACAAATATCTTACTTTTTCTGTCTTGCAATTTTGTCAGCTTCCTTGGCAATCTGGCCTGGGACAGTATTTATCTGAACCAGGTCGCCCTGCAATGCAATTCACACAGACTATATAATACACTTCTGTTGATTCAAGAAAGACATACACACAGCAGACAAAATAATCAGAAAAACAGTAACATCCAGCATTTGGCTATAGACTACAAAACTTGTATTTCCTTTCATCAGTATGTTTCTCATGTAGTCTGTGAAGGCTAAGCATTTGTGAGATAAATCACTTTTATGCAAACACACACACATATACAGTATTTCTCTATTTGTTTGCCCACATAAATATGGTTACTGGTACTTGAAGAGTTATATCATAAGACTTTTCACAGAAGCAACGACTGCAGCTAATACATTGTACCCACCAGCATATACATATATATGGCTGGTGAAAGGTTCCTGAGAACAACCTCCACAAACAATTTTCAGCAATAAGAAAATGTACAAAACACAAGCAATATGAAGGTATTTCTACAGATAATACTATTTCATTTTCTTGCAGCTAGATCTCATATTTCATCAGATGCATGGACCAGGAAATGGTGACACTATTGTCTAATCTAAGCTTTAGGATTCATCAAGCCAAAGCCCAAATCCTGATCAATCTTTCTTTGTTGCAAAAAGAAAACACTATAAAAGTCATACACCATTGAAGTAAATATTTAACGTTTTCAATAATAATTGATCAATAGCATTGAATGTAGTCTCTGGCTATTGCAAAACTCTTCTAAGGACGACAAAGAAATCAATACATGCCAAATGAAAACATTTTACCAAGCTTAGCAAATCTAGTTTTATTTAGACCCAAAACTGGAAACATGTGTAACCTAAGTATCCCTTTGGGTAAGTGAGTGAATGTTGTTTACACCACAGTTAGTAATAGTCCATCTACATCACAATAGCTTGTCAATAATCATGTCTGGACAAGGCAAACCAGTGGTTGATAGAATGAGCAATGATCAAATCATCACCCAGATCTTTATACAAGTACCAATTTGATTAAAATCAGATCTTAGTGCTCACTACTGCTACACATAGATCTGAGGACATTACAGGTCACATCAGAATGACCATTTGTTAACTTTGACTGTCCAATGAAATTGCTAACAAGAAATCAATATCAGCCAATCAGAAAGCAGCTTTCTCAAGCTTTAAGGCACAAGTTTCAAACTGTGACTTCCATTCTAAGCTATGCTTTGGAAAAAATTGATTCAAATTTGAATACTGACCCAAAAGATTCTGTAATGTCTAATAGAAGGTTGAGATTGTATGGCTGTACATCCCACGACCTATGGAAAGTCTCTTCTGTCTCAAATGTTTATCCCACTGAAGGGAGAGATTAACAATGATTTTGACGGAATCAGTCATACAGCCCGTAACTGTTACTCAGAATACCCTGTGGTAACCTTTTCAAGGTTGCATGATTAGGAAACAAATTCCAAATGTCACTTTCCGATCTGGTAAACAACGCTCTGTTTGGTCAGATGAAAGGCATTTCTGATGTGACCTGTAATGGTCCTCAGATCTTTGTTTAGCGGTAGCAAGAACTAAAATATGATTTTACTGAGATTGAAAAATTAATGGGTTTTAGAGACCTAGTCTGCTCAGGAATCCCCAGAGGAACATTATCTCTCAGCTGTAGAAAACAAACAATATCAGGGAGCTGACTACCGATCTTGCTACATACTGTTGGCTCGATCTACTGCTTGTTCAACCTTTAGGTAACTATCTAGGGACATGGCGCAAGCACATGAAAAAGTCATCCCTGTAAAATGTAAATTATCACAATTTGACTAACAATAACATTCCTCTACAAACACTACAATGAGCATAATAAAAAGAAAGAATTTATCTGCAAAGAACTAAGAATAGTCATTACAACTGTTGCTCTTCAGCTAAATATATTTGTGAAGTAAAGAATGTATAATGATTTTTTAAGGAAGTTGAAGAGTGAATCAGATACTGTGCCATATATAGTCTGTAATATGCTAGCTGTAGTTACCAGAAGTGGGTCACGGTTATAGTGTGCAAAGAAACAAACAGATAGTGCTGTCCATATGTGGCAGCCAACGTGACCTTGCGATCCCCCATTTAGTCACCAAGGAAAATAGGAGTTGGAATATGCACTAGAAGCAATTCTTAATGGAGCACTGAAATACCAGCTTCCCGAGGCAAATGTGTTCACTAGCCGATATCAAAGCCTAGTTTTGACCCTTGCCACATCAACGCTCTCTGATTGGACTATCGATGTGTGCTATAGTTCCAATCATATTTAGCACAGGAAGGTGGGCTTGATGTGGCAAGGGTGAAAATAGACTTTGATAAATAGGCTAGTGGATGCTCTTGCCTTGGGAAGATGCTGAAATACATGTACATAACTACAACCTGTCTGGAGCTACTACATGTAAAATGTGTATGGCTAACATGCTGCTTAGCTTCAAAAATTCCGACTACAAATAAAGATTTGCAATAGAAGAGTAAATAAAGAATCACCGATATGTTCATATAGTCTAGCTGAAATTAAAACAATTATTCATTATTGTATTTTGCAAGTGTAAGTAGTTCAACAACTTTGACCCAAACTTTAGAAAAATGTCCCTAAACAGGAACATCTTTCAATATCACAAGGCACAAAATAATGCGCCTGATTTAATTTTGATAGAAACCCAACTTTTCTACCTACTCATTTGCACCCCTGTTGTCTACCAGCATAGCAAACATTGGGCTATACATTATCATTAGAATGGGGTGATTAAATTAATCTGTAATGTATTCAAACAAAGATATACAAATGTCAGAATATTTAAAAAATAAAAGATGAAAATGACAATATGAAATGAATTTCAACAGTAGAATTTACGTGGATTACATTTCTGATAATGTCTGTTTATATTGACAAAATATAATACATTAAGAGATGTCTGCCCCCAACCCCTACTTTTGAATTCCAAATTTAATATATTGTAGACAATCCGAGTGGATCCGCCCTTGGTTTATAGTATCTATACACAATCCATTATATGTGTTAAAGCAAGGAATGAAAGAATGCATACCTTCAACTTCTCCAACTTCTCGGTCAACTCCTCATACTCCTTGTTGTCGAGGCCCAGCTGTCTTTGATTGGTCTCGAGGTCTTCACGGAGGTTCTTGGCCTCATTCTGACTCTGTCCAATCTCCTTCCTCATTTCATCACAGGCAGTTTGAAGCTGCTTGATCTTTTTCTCGATCTCCTTCAATGTCAATAATAGAGAAATAAACAACGTCCTTTTGGAGAGAGAAGAGATCAATCACACTCTTAGTTGCGTAGATTTAACAACAAATTTGTATGTAGCCAGCAGGGCTTGCTCCTTTTAAAAGTGACTCACCCTTCTCCAAACTAACTGGCCTACAACTAAATGGTGGAGGCTGCAAAGTTGCCAAACATGAGGTCACGTAGCCTGAAAATGCTCTGAAAATGTCAGAACTCCTCACCCCTAAAACATTGTTTCCTGCACTCCGGAGATTAAATCTTGGCTTCTATTTGCCTCATTTTGTGTAGATTTACAAGCAAATAAAGAAGTTTTGTACACAACATTACAAAATAGCGGCCTGCTGTCTTTCTACTGATATTATCCAAATGAAAACATGAAACATACACGGAGAAGGGGTGAAATTTTGACTAGCCAAACAGGCCATCTACTTTACGTTTCAGTAACTGGCCACAGGCCAACGGGCCAGCAGTTAAACTGACCCCTGTCTTAGCAATACCTCAAACATGTTACAACAGCAACACCTACAATAAACTTCAGATATTGTACCAACGTGAGGAATCAAACCCGGTCTTCAGGATGACAAGGGGAAACTCAAAACAAGGGTGGAAACTGGACGTTTAGAGTCAGTTTCTTCACGAGGCAAGGGAGTTAAATGACTTTAAAAGTCCAGTTTCTACCCTTACCGAACGAGGTTAGAATTTAAAATCACGTGATCACCATGATTAAGAACATGAAAAGATTTGAAAAATATCTGTTGATGCCAACTTGGCGGTACACATTCTGTGCAAATCCTGCAATTTACACAGCAATTTCAAATTTTTGATTTTCTTACGTGATTTTGACTGGACTATACATAGGCTTGTTAGTCAAGCCAAAATAGAACTCCATCGTTCCAGCCTAGTTCGGCAAGGGTGTAAACTGGACTTTATAGTCAGTTAACTCCCCTGCCTCAGGAAGATGGGCTGTGCCCTTCCTTATACAAACATTCCACAGTGTGTTTTGTATGTTGATATGAAGTCTTGTAAGAACAAAGCTGTGTAAATTCTTCTGTAAAATTTTATTTTGCTTACTTATTTCCATATTATCCCTTATTTTTTGCAGTCAGTATATATGGAGTTGCCAGAGTTATTAAATTTCTTTTGATCTAGTAAGCTTAGCATACATAGACACTAATGTATATTGATACTGATGTCAAATGACAAGTGTGGACTCAACAACATTTTCCGATTATTTGGTATCGCATTCTAAAAAGTATACATAATATATGTGCTCCAGAAATCCTCGTGGCCATCATGGAGAGTAATAAGCCTTTCTTAGACCCATATTATGAGCAAAACAGTATTTCATAAAAAAAACATGCATAACTGAATCATCTATACAATCACTATTGAGACGCCTTTAAATGAGCACTTACATCTGTATATGTCCAATCTTTCAAGTAACATTGTCAACATTAAACAAAGATTGTCATCTAAAATAGGAATCATTTTGAACAAATTAAAGGGAAAATTCTATCAAACAGCAAGCTCAAGCAATGTATGCATTCAGAACAGCACAAAGTATACTCACCCCTTGTTTAGGGAGCCGTTCATACTCCCTTTCAATTATTTTCTTCTCTTCTGTCAAACTGAAAAAATAAATAAACAACATTATCATACCTCCTGTCAGAATGGTGAGTTCTGATCGGTCCACATGATCTTGAAAAAATACTATATAACCCGCTTTGGAGGGTAATAAATTTCTCAGCGGGGTAATAAATCTCTTATACCCCGCCACGAACAAGTAGGGTTGCACATGGACTTCTGAGAGGCAGAATAAATCCCTTACACCCTGCTTCAAAGCAAAAAGCTGCACCCTTTTTCCAAGTCAATGGAAGACAGAGCACAAGTTAACCTCCATTCGATCGAACAGCTGTTTTCTATCAATTTTGAATTTGTTTTAATTCTTTTACAATGTAACATTAAAACATGTCGGTAAGAATCTGATAGATTTGTAGTAGCAGTATCACGAGGGGGACATGGGGTTTTATGCACCCTCATAAGGTTTTATACCATGAGCCTCCGGGATGCATAAAACCCTATGCCCCCCTTGTGATCCTGCTACAACTTATATTCACGTCAATTTTGTATAACACAAAAAGAAAATCATACATTTCCCAAATGTAAAGCAATGCTATCACAGTAATTGTAATTCCTACTTACTTATTCATTATCAGAAATACTTTTGGATTTTCAATTCAGGAATGTGTTTCTACAAGAATCATTCAGTCTGTGAGTGAGTGAAATAGGCTCCCAAAGCTTTCAGTAATACTGTATATCGCTGTCTGTAAATCGACCCCGCCTATAAGGCAACCCCCTGTACAGGCCTTCAAAATCGATGTTAATCAATATACCCTCTTTTTTAAGCTATCCGGAATGAAGCACATCACCAGCACATAAACAAACCCAACATCAGCCATAAAAAGGAGGAGGGGAAATCAAGTAGGCGAAAAAAAATAACATCATATCCTTCCAGTGGATTCAGGCAAACGAACAGATGATGACTTGGTCAATACAAATGTGACATTTGAGATAAAACATTACTAGATACCAGGATTTACCATTTAAATTGTATTTCCTATTCTGCTAGGTATTGTTTATGCGAGGTGAAATGGGGTTTAACGTCGCGTCCAAGATTATTGCACTTATAGAGCGATGTGCATGCACGTGTGTGTGGCTGCTTGTACTAGTCCGGACTGATGCCGATTTATAGTGCTAGCCCACTGAGATACCATGCCACAGTTTAACATGGATACCCCACTCAGACACAGTATACTGACTCCGAGCCGACCAGTCCTTGTTTTAGCCCCTAAATGCCGAACGCCAGACAGGGTAACAACAAGTACCATCTTTTAACGTCTTTTGGTATGACGCGGCCGGGGATCAAACCCTGGACTTTCCGCTCTCTGGGCGGACGCTCTACCACTAGACCATGGAGACTGTCTATTGTTTATGTGTAGAGATACTGTGTGTTGTCTTGTAAACTAAGCCAGAAACAGCAATCATTTGGACACACCATTTCTCGGAATAAAAAAAAAAAGACTGCTTGCATGCAATATGTTTTCAAAAATCATTGCCTGAGAAACAATTCTTTTATTTTTTAGGCCTAATATAACTTTAAGGAACTTTGATACAATTATCTGAATAACTGAATTTGAAACTATTATTTTATCAGGAATAATATATTCCAATATTGTGTTATTTTAGTTGAAGCTTTACTATATATATTTGAAATAAAAATAACCATAAGTATAGCACTTTTGTACAGCTGATTCCTATAACCGGATGTTTTTTCACTTATGGAACAATTTGACTAATCACCGTTGAGGCTCACACGCTCGCGAAAACTTTATGTTCATATATATTTGTCAAACTACAACAAATATTACTTTTAACGAGTCAGCGTGTGGCATGATATATGTATCCATTATCTGTCAACTAAAGTTGTTTCAAGGTGTCAGTAGCGGTAATCTGACCGTGGTTGCTGTAAATAATGGTGAGTTGTGCGATCACTTCTCACTCAATATGAAATTTTGAATAAAATTAATGAAAAAGGTTACAAACATAAGTCCAGATATACAATGAACACTTTCTATAACCAGACAGTGTAATCACATGATTAATTTGCGTACTTCAGTATGGATTTGTTGCGATGGTATTTTCGGTGTTACCAGCTGGTTACATGCTCACGATAATGTCTCTGTGTTTGGGGGGCAAATAACATCAAAACTCTTCTACCCTGTGTATAGGGCAACCCCACTTCAAACCCCGCTAAATCTAGGGACAAAAAATGATTGTAACTGTGTTACATAGTTTCTGTCAAGATTTGGTGTAAGCAGTTGTCACTATAGTTACTATATTTAGATGCAAGTGTGGTGTGTAAACTTTCGGTCTGGTAAATCGTGGACAGTGAGAGTCTGTTAGAGACACTTGTGGAATGTTCTAGTACCGCTATACTGGTGAGTGCACTGTGTAGAAATTTCCAATAGCTAGTATATATATTGGGATAACAGTATGTTTACGCATCTCTCATACTTTTCATCACATCAAGACCAGCTTTCATGTGAGGGTCACCTATCATCCCTGATTCCCTGAAAAGCCCATCTCAAACAAACACACATTGGCTCAAACCTAATCTTTTTACCTTCAAACTACAACTCAAAACCAGCGAGCAAGTGCTACCCAACAGACCAATGAAGATATGGGTAATAGGTCTTCAGCAAATAACAGGATCGGGTGGTCCGTCTCGCTGAATTGGTTGATGCATGTCATTGTATCCCAACTGCGTGGATCGATGCTCATGTCAATCACTGGATTGTCTGGTCCAGACTCGATTATTTACAGACTTCTGTCATAAAGCTGGAATATTGCTGAGGGTGGCGTTAAACAACAAACAAACAAACCTAACACTGTTTGACTCACCTCTCCAGCTTGTACTCCAGCTGATACTGCCGTTCTTCTGTCTCCACCAGATCATTGTTGTACTTGAGAAACTGTTCACGGAGTTTGGTGACTTCTGTGTTGGAACTCTCTGGGAAGTTATCCCCTTTCTCTAACTCTGCTCTCTGTTTCTCTAGATCTGATGTGTAGTCCTTGGCTTGACGGAGCAGTGTTGTTTCATTAAGTCTGGAGCTGGATGTCAATAAAAACAATTTGTCACACAGAGATAGACACATAATAATGCAAAGCTGAAACAATATCAACAATTGATTCTCAGGCAAAAACAATTATGCAAAATTGGTGTGGAGTATGTCGGTAAAAGTAAGCAAATTTAGTGTCATTTTCATCTCTTGCATTACAGAAATAATATACTGTCAAACAAGGATGGTGGTAAAGTGAATATGTTATTTCTTTCTTCACAATAATGTTAGGTATTCACTAAAGCTATGAGTACAAAATGTGTTAAAGATATGTATTACCAATGAAAAAAAGTCAGAAAAACATTCAGATATGCTTGTTAAATTATTATTCAACAGGAGGATAACTTACTTTTTAAGTGTCTCATGCAGTTCTGTGTATTTAGATTTCAGTAGAGCAACCTTTGTCCCAGTTAACTTTCCTTGCTGAAATAACTGGAACATGAAATTTAACAAGTAAGTCATTCATTTCTAAATAGCATAAACTATGATGTTTTTAAGTTTTGAAAACTTATTCACAAACTCCTGATCCATGATGCAATTAGCTAAACCTACTGGCCATTACTTTTTCATTGCTATTGCATTTGAGATACAATCATAAACAAACATCAGAATTTGTCAATTTGAATCCTGATAAAACTATATCACTTTGATATACCGCTAAGGTCAGCCCAGTTAACTTTCTTGTTTCACAGAGTTTCTCACCAAGTTCAATATGCCCAGAGGCATAAATATATCTCTTGAAATATTTTTAAAAAAAATTACTGATATAGAGTAGAATCATCACTACTATTAAAATGCTCTAAAACACACATTGCTCTGATCTAACATCATTGCAACAATAACTCACCTCATCCAAACACTGGAAAGCAGGGCTTGATGAGACTTCTATCTGACTCTCTTCCTGTTTAATGACCTTGGGAGGAAGGGGTGCTATCGGGGGGACATACTCCGACACCTCCTCCTCCTCCCTCTCGCTTCCTCCCGCGTCACTCATCCTCAGACAACCAGCTAACTCATTCCTGGCATAATATATCCAAATTTAGATCCAACATTAAATCAATGAAAATCGCTTGTCAAACAAATCATACAAACAAAAGAAAAAGTTAGCTGATTATAACACTTTAGGAGACATTCTTACAGAAAAATTTGTTCTAAAATATCTATTTCATGTTTTTTTCTTATGAAAGCAATACACTATACATGTTTCAACATACAAAAAACATTTTCTCCTTTTAAATTAGAATGAATGATGGTTTTGTGAAAAGAAACAAGATAAACAAATATGTTGATACAATCCACTTAAAGAAACCTATTTTATTATAGAAAATAATGTCCACAATAGTATTTTATCACCAACATACTTGTAATGAATAAGTATTATTCATAACTATAACACAGAAATAACCTGCATGACTGACCACATTCTACGCTCCTCTGTCACTGCTGAACTGAGAAGAAACCAATAGTGTCACTTTCACTACTCTATCACCGACAAAATGTTTCTGAATTAACAATGAATTTCTCAAGCTAAAGAAATTGGCTGTCAATAAACTGCTGACAAGATAATTAGACCAAAACCAACTGATAAATAATTTGGATTTCTATTCATCATAAAATGTCAATCACATTTATTTGATTGACAAGGACACGTAACAGGGTGGTGCAATTAGAGAAAATGGATACACACAGAGTGCATAAGGAAATTAGAGTGTACGTATTGTTCCTCAAGAAGAAAGCTCATTTGATATGTAGGGTTAATCTAAACAGACTGTACCTGAAACTCACCTGTTTTAGTTCAATTAATCAAATTTTGATAAAGTTATTTAAACTTCAAAATAACTTATCCATATTGAAAGCAATCCTGAAACACTTTTAGAACTTAATAATTAAATATTAACAAGCCTAAGATTTGCGATGACTTGGCATGGACATCCATCCAATGAATAATTAGAGTTTCTGGTTGCTAAAATCAATTGCTGCCAAACACTTTTAAGTATATTAGCTCAAACAGGTTTTGTGACAACAATTTTAGTTTCTTTCAGTCTTAATCATGGACAATAATAATTATTAGCAGTGCTTACTTAAAAAAGAAATTTTGCAAAAGTCACAAACTGTGAATGAAATCAGACCTTATATATTTCACCACACAATGTAGAACATCCCTTGAAGAACCCTACACCTTCATAAAGAAATTGCTCCAAAATTACCAAAAGAAACAACCATTCTAGTTCTGCTGCAATTTGCTGACTGTACAAAATTGGATGTCAATTAGTGCATACATATTTCAACAAAATCTATGTGAGCTAAAGAAGTAATTTAAAGGTATTATATTCTATTATTCTGACATAATATGTACCATATTTATTCCCATAGGAGAATATATACACCTCTCCAAATAATAACTACTGACAAATATTTATGACAAACATACGCTGTGAAAACGCAAACAAAAAAAGAGAAAATGGATTTGTTTACTTACAGATGTTAGATAACTAACACCTATAAATTACTCCATAATCACATTAAACGATACGATGAATAATTAAACGGTCCGTCTTGATTTCGTTGATCGATTTGCTAGTATCATGCCGTAGTGCGTGATTACCTTCAGGAGATACATTGAGAAGATGAAGCTTCATGAATTATTTGCACATCCAATATGGCTGGTTTACATTAACAACAGTTACCATGCATGCTGCGCATGCTCAGATCGAGCATGGGGAATAACGTAAAATGTTAAATTTTGTGTTAAATAATATAAGTTGATATAAACATCTTTAAACCTTTTGGAGTATACCCAAATATTTTATTTCAGCACGAATGAAGAAGTTTTATCAATCTGAATAATCCAAAACGTGTTTAACAACATTAAGTCCTGTTTTCGGCAAGATACAACTTTATACTATATTCGCAATCACTAATATTGTTAAGACGAGCACAGAGATTAAATTGATTTCTGGTTTAGGTAAAGTACCATAGTAACCGTATGAAAATAATTCAAGGATAATAACATATATTAATGTAAAATAATGTGATATTTTTGTATAAAATGACTTTCCAAAGGAACACGAATTCTAATGTCAATAATAATTAGTAGTAAGTTGTACTATAAGTAGTACCCGGCTAAAAGCGTGTTTCTGTCTGCTCAAGTTTTAGTTTGTCGATGCTTGTGTGAAGAATCAAGATGAAGATCGAAGAAGTGAAAAGTACAGCCAAGGCTCAGCGTATTGCTTCCCACAGTCATATCAAAGGTCTTGGATTAGATGGCAGTGGTTATGCCATTCAAACAGCAGCAGGGCTTGTCGGCCAAGAGCTTGCACGTGAAGTACGTTTATTCACTATTGTTTATCTAGAACATTCTTCAAAAGTGTGTAAACCTAGTCAGTTAATGTTATTTCCAAAGAAAGAAATGTCATATCCATCAATCTGAAGTGTCTCCCTGGTTGTATGGAGTTAACGTAATTTGTTCAAATGAAAAGTAATCACAGATACGACCGAAATGATCATTTTCAGCAGGTATAAATATTCTGTGTTAACTAACCAATCTCCTTGGTAACCAGAGTTATGCCTCTTCCATCATCAGGCTGCAGGGGTTGTTGTGGAGCTCATCAAATCCAAAAAGATGGCAGGAAGAGCAATGCTACTTGCTGGCCCACCAGGAACAGGAAAGGTATATTTATGTTTAATCAGTTATGTTCTTATTTGTTTGTTTACCATTAACATGTTAATTTTAATCAAAGTGTGATTTGTACTGTTGGCTTGGTTAGCTTTTTATATGATTTGTGTGTATTTTATGGTGACATTTCCGATTGGCACAAGAAAATAATGGACATTACTAAATTTTGACAGTTTCATTGAGATCTTTTGTAAATATTATCAAATAGAACTTTTTTAACCCAGAAGAAGTGTTATATTGCTAATTAAGTGATAATTAGAAGCAAGAGAAATCTAAATATAACAAACTTAATGATTCAAATTGGTATTTGTTTAATATAGGAGGAGACCTTGTCAAATCCTTTTTAATCATGTAAGAAACACCTGTACAGTACAGTAGAATAAAGATGATGTCATCTTCCCGAGGAAAAGGAGTAAACTGACTTTAAAAGTCCAGTTTCCAACCTTGCCCAATTTGGCTGGAGTCTGGTCATGATCATAGCGCTACCAGGGGCTATTACGAGTAATGTCCATTCCCCACTACTGGCCAATCAGATTCCACCTCTCATGTCACAAGTTTACATTTGCTTCAAACAAAATGCACAGTCAAGATGATCTCATCGATAATAAAGATCTTTATTGTAGTTAAATGGGTTTTACCTCGTGAAGCGCATCAAATCACTTGAGCACCTTGATAAAACACATGAAAAGATTTGGAAAATATCTGTTGATGCTGAGTTGATGGTACACATGCCCTGCAAATCCTGCAATTGAACGAATTCAACGCAGCAGTGGCCATGTTGTTTATGAACTGGATGTGGATTTCGTAAAAGGATTTTGATAGGACTATGCCAAAATATAACTCCATAATTCCAGCCTAGTTCGGCTAGGGTGGAAACAGAACTTTAATGTTGGTTAACTCCCTTGCCTTGGGAAGATGAGATGATGTAGAACGAACACTTTCAGAAAATTCTCAGAGATAATATAAACTCCTCTGAATGTCAAGTTTAGGTATTACTTTGGTAAACTATGACAGTATTTGTAACAACAAAGTACCATTGTCATGGTTTTGATGAGCTAGTTATTTATTTACAGTTGCTACTGCTGTGAACTCATTTATGTCCAAAAGTCAATTTTGGTGAGTGAGTGAGTTGGGTTTAATGCTGCTTTGAACAATATTCCAGTTGTATCACAGTGTATTATTGATGATATAGTTAAAGGAAGACATTTTGACATTCATTACTTCACAAACATTGTTTCAGTAAATAATTTGATCATTTGTAACGCTTACTTTGGATTTTTCTCAGACTGCCATTGCTCTAGCTATTGCTCAGGAGTTGGGATCCAAAGTCCCTTTTTGTCCAATGGTTGGAAGTGAAGTGTACTCCTCAGAGATCAAGAAAACAGAAGTGTTGATGGAGAACTTCCGAAGAGCCATAGGGTTGCGAATCAAGGAGACAAAAGAGGTGTATGAAGGAGAGGTGACAGAACTGTCACCTGTAGAGACAGAGAATCCTATGGGAGGTATGTATTCAAGGGTACACTCCCACTTATCAGTGACTCAGTTCATCAGATATTGACTGGTAAAATGTTTTGTACTGTACAAATGACGTCCATCCATGTAGTGGGATGGTTTGGCAGGATTTTGTTGGTTAAAAGCACCAAACTTGCATACATATTATAATTTGACATGTCATGTTTTTGTAGTAATCAACTCGTTATAACTAATGTTATTGTAGTAATCAGCTCATTATAACCAATGTTATTGTAATCGGGTGGTTATAACCAATGTTATTGTAGTAATCAGCTGGTTATAACTAATGTTAATGTAGTAATCAGCTGGTTATAACTAATGTTATTGTAGTAATCAGCTGGTTATAACTAATGTTATTGCTTTGCAGGGTGACTTGCATTTCAGTGATAACAGGGTTAATAATCAGGAAGAGGCTTTAATGTAGTGTACATTTTTGCATGGAATGAAAAATTAAAGTACCCCTGAATTTAAAAAAAAATCCCAATTTTGAAAAACACATTATCCCTCGCCACAAAGTGAAAGGGTGATATTGGAATGGGTGCTGTCCGCCCATCCATCCATCCATCTGTCACGTTTTGTTTCTGGAGCAGAACTCGAAAACCATGATAGATATATTATAACCAACTTTGGCACATAGATAGGTCTAGTGGTAAACTTGTGCCTTTTGGTTGTTTTGGTTTTGGTTGGACCAATCAGATTCCACCTCTCGTATCACTTGCATTTGCTTCAAACAAAATGGCGGCACCCAGTCAAGGCGATCTGATCGATAATCAAGATCTATATTGTGATAAAATGGGTCTTACATCGCGAGGTGCATCAAATCACGTGAGCACCTTGATTAAAAACATGAAAAGATTTGGAAAATATCTGTTGACAAGTTGGCGGTGCACATGCTTTTGCAATCCTGCGATTGACCAAAATCTGCATTACAGTTTACAAACCGGATTTTTATTTTGTTGCACGATTTTGATTGGACTATGCATAGACTCGTTAGTCCAGCTAAAATGTAACTACATAATACCAGCCTAGTTCGGCAAGGGTGGAAACTGGACTTTTATAGTCCTCGGGAAAATGGTAGTGGTCCAGACTATCCCAAAGCACAGCAGCTTAGGTTAACCATTACAAGACATGACTCCATGGAATGGGTCTCTTGATGTTAACCATGTTTGTTTATGAATGTCCTATCCACTAGCTCTGGTGTAATCTATAGACAATGACTGTCGACATCATGACATGCATGTACTGGTACCCTGTTGCAGGTTATGGCAAGACCATAAGCCATGTGGTGATCGGCTTGAAGACAGCTAAAGGCACCAAGCAGTTGAAGCTTGACCCGTCTATCTATGAGAGTCTACAGAAGGAGAAGGTGGAGGTGGGCGATGTCATCTACATCGAGGCCAACAGCGGCGCCGTCAAGGTGAGGAATGCAGGTTGGATGTGAATAAACAGTTGTGTGTGGTCAAAAGAGGTGTTCAGTACCTCATGCTTGCTGGAGAGCCAGCTAGAAGGGTCTTGGGTGGTCAGGCTCTGTGACTTGGCTGTTTGTGTTCATGTCATCAACCACTGGTTAAATGTGGTTAGCATGGCCCAGACATTATTTATATATGTTGTTAATGTAATTTATTATTTATTTACATATTATGATATATGGATGATTTGGGGCATTTATTATTTTGGATATGTTATCTTCTGACTCTTGTTTGGGGTAGTTTTACCGATCTTTGTTACCATGGATACCTCAGCCTGTGATCATTATATGCTGACATCTGACTGAGACATGTGTGACATTCAAGAGTTTGCCTGCTGGCTTAGATAATAGATAAATAATAAAAATAAATATATGGATTGAATATTGCTGACAGCAGCTAAAGACAGCAAACAAACAGTGGTGTATGACTTGTCTCATTGTGTTCATAATGCATTCACTTTTGCCTGTATTATTGATTTTCTTCAATTGTTTCAAGAGTTGTATCCCTTGGGCATACCAGAAACCTATGATTGTGGGTTGGAATCCCGGTTTGCCCCGATTGTTTCTAGGTTTGTCGGCACCATACTCGTGCTCGTGGGTTTACCTTAGTGGTGAACGTCTGAGACCTGCATCACTTCGGGCTTTCCTCACACATTAAGCTGACACGCTGTGATATAACTGGAATACTGTTCAAAGCAGCGGTAAACCAACTCGTTCACTCACTCACTTGCTTCAAGTGATTGTATTGTTGCCAAGATATCAATGTCTCACATAGTTTTGTGAGATCATCTTTTCATACACAATTTAATGATAAGTGCCAAATTTTCCAGTACCTTCTATCATGTCATGACCTTTGTAGTGTTGTGTAATCTTGGAATACTCTCCTCGTCCCATTGAGTCATTACATCAGTTTTTTCTTTAAGCATCTTTATTGTATCCTTCAAAATAACTGGTGGTATGTTTCAAACCATTAACTAAATTAACTTCAACAATGACAAAGAATTACTACCTACAGTTGTCACTGGCCCAGTCTCTATGTAACATAGTGTATTAAAACATTCTGGCCCAATAATCCAAGGGGTCTCTGAATTTCGAATATTGCCCCTAGAAATGAATTGGCAGGTTGATGTTTGTCCATCTGAGAAATATCTTGCTAACATCAGGTGCTTAGAAAGAAAACTCCCAGAGGCTATTAACACTGTTCTTCCATCTTACAGAGACAAGGCCGATCTGACAGCTACGCCACTGAGTACGATCTGGAGGCAGAAGAGTATGTGCCGCTACCTAAAGGTGATGTGCACAAGAAGAAGGAGGTCATTCAAGATGTCACCCTACATGACCTCGATGTCGCTAATGCAAGGCCACAGGTACTGACCGTCACTTTAGCAAGATTGTTATACCTCTACTAAGAATCTTGCAATTCCATTGGTTATTCCATACCACGTGAGGAAAAAATACATTTCAATGTAGACACTCCAGATCATGTGACTGACACTGACCTCGAATATTGACACTTCACATGATCAGTATTGACCTGTCACGTGATCGATATTGACTCGTCTACTGGAAAACAAGATGGCGACTGGTACTAACATTTCACGAATGGCTGCTAAGTTACTGTAATCAAAGATGTATATAGATATGTAATGAAACAGAATGGTTGAAAGGCTTCATAAAATTTAAAGGGAATTTCGGTATAGCAAAATGAATGTTTACTCTTGACGAGATTAATATGTGTTTTAAAAAAAAGGACCTTCGGGCCCCGACAGGACAGACCACCTCAGGAGTCTGGTCCCCAGGTGCTTGGTTTTTTTGCATATTGACCTTGTCAAAAATACTTGTTTGTGTAATGAGTTTAATATTGTTCCTGTCAGTTGTGTTTTCATCTTCACTGTATCTCTGCATGTTTGTACTTAGGGTATTTCATGTGATACCACTTTGATTGCAGGGAGGCCAGGATATTATGTCGATGATGGGGCAGTTGATGAAACCAAAGAAGACAGAAATCACTGGTTAGTAAGCATGATAAGACCAATCTTATTCAAATCAGACCTTAGTCCTCACTACTGCTGAACAAAAGAGCTGAGGACATCCCCTTACGGGTCATGTCAGAACAATCTTTTGCAAACTTTGACCAACCAATGAAATGACCAATCGCCAAGCAGAAAGCAGCTTTCTTGAGCTTTACGGCACTGGTTCCAAACTGGTGACTACGCTTTGAAAAATATTGATTCAAAATTTGAAAACTGAACAGAAAACCATACTGGACTTTCTAATATATGGCCTAGATTGTATGGCAGTACTTCCCACGGCAATGCAAAGTCCCTTCCTTCAAATGTTTATCCCTCTGAAGTGAGGATAGACTGTGTTTTTGACGGATTTAATTGTATAGCCTTTAACCGAGGTTAAGCATACCGTGTTTAACTTTCCAAGGTTGCATGATTAGAAACCACATTCCTACTGTCACTTTCCTGACCTGGTAAGTGACGCTCTGAAGGGTCAGGTGAAAGATTGTTATGATGTGACCCGTAATGGGACGTCCTCAGATGTTTGTTAGCGGTAGCGAGAACTAAGATCTGATTTTAATAAGATTGTGGAAAGACATCCAGAAGATCTCTGGGACTCTGTAAAACTGAGAGTTGCTTGTAGCACATCATGATAAATGTCCCCATTATTCTATGAGATAAACATAGTTTTGAGATATTTATTTCTGATTAGGAATTTAGTATTTTCGAAAGCTACTTCATTATCTTGGTCTATCAAAATAATGGGGCATGTATGGACTAAATAATTATGGACTAAATAATAATTCATCTATTTTCAAAACAGTTATGGTTTTACAGTTTTACAGTTTTTACAGTTTTTATGTACTTTTGAATTGCCTTATCACCATCTTGGCTGGGATCTAACTTTATTAGATGTATTCTTACTATGTATTCTATACTAAATTCAGGCCATTATTGTGACACTCTTCTTGTTGTATTTTGCAGATAAGCTTCGGAAGGAGATCAACAAGGTGGTGAACAAGTACATCGATCAGGGTATAGCAGAGCTGGTGCCGGGTGTGTTGTTCATAGACGAGGTGCACATGTTGGATATTGAGTGCTTTACATACCTCCATCGAGCCTTGGAGTCCACAATCGCACCCATTGTTATCTTTGCCACAAACAGAGGAAAGTGCACAATAAAGTAAGAACAGTGTTCTACTTGATGTTTATTTTGTGATTTTACAAGTTATTTTAATCAGGTTAATAGTAGATTCTCTTTCCTGATCTTTTCTGTACATCAAATCAACACACGAAGATCGGGGTGAGAATAGGTCTTCAGCAACCCATGCTTGCAGTAAGAGGCGACTAATGGAATCAGGTGGTCGGGATTGCTGACTTGGTTCATGCATGTCATCGTATCCCAATTGCGTAGATCGATGCTCATGATGTGTATCACTGATTGTCTGGTCCAGACTCGATTATTTGCAGACTGACGTCATGTAGGTGGAATATTGCTGTGTGCAGCGTTAAGCAACAAACAAATCAAATCAAATCTTAGGTATTCAAATATGAATCCACAATTAACTCTAAAGCATCCTTCATGTTGAAACGTTTGATGATATATCCCATATGACTTTATTCAGAATTTTACTGACTGCATTTCTTGTTGTCATCCATATATTGAACAGAGAGCACCAGGAAGGGAGGTCAGCAAAGAGTTATCTGCCCTTAGATTGTAACATTGCCTCTTCAGATCCCTGTCATTGATGAACCCAACAGCCTTTGTTCTCACAGGACAGAAGGTGTATGATACTGACGTGTTTGTGTTTCTGTTACAGGGGGACCGAGGACATTGTTGCCCCCCACGGCATGCCCCTGGATCTGCTGGACCGAGTCATGATCATCAGGACCTTGCCATACTCATTGGAGGAAATGGTCGCTGTATGTACAACCACTTTGATATCACTTAGCATTTTATGTATTGATCAAACTATGATTTCATTAATAGAGATGATATATTTGTAGAATGAGACCAGGCCCAGGTTATCCAATTTTTTCTAGTTCTTGACTTGATTCTTTCGTTACACAGATTCTGAAGATCCGGTCACAAACAGAAAGCATACAGATAGATGACGAATCCCTGCAGCAGCTGGGCAGCATTGGATCAAACTCCACACTTAGGTAAGCATATATATTATTTGTGATAAGTGATATGTTGCTTTGAATATTTACTCCAATATATCATGTATAAGTTTACACCAGACAATAGGTGGTTGAGAACATCATTTATAATTTGTGCTTCTAAGAAATGGCACATATCAGCATGGTAAGCCAGGGCTCCGTTCTCCAAAGAAATCTTAGCGCTAAGTCGATCGTAACTCCCATACTTTAACGTAGACTTACGACAGTCTAAGTGTTAAGATTGCTTTGTGGAATGGGACCCAGGTCACACATTATAATCTGCTGATGCCCATTTACTGTAGTCAATGGGTGAACATTTTTTTTTTTATTCCTGCTGGCCCGAATTTTTGTGTTTTTCTTGGTATCATTTCTGCAGATTTTAGTGTTAATGTATAGACTATTATTGGGTGTGGTTACGAGACAGGAAGGCATTTTACAAAACATAATTTGGCTCACACAGTGTACAGTTCAGAATTCTCATGATCTGTATAATGGACGTGTATGAACAATAAATTGTGGTGTCGATGGACAGTGAATATTCAAATATGAATGTCTTTCACACTTGCTTGAGTGTATGTTTTGGTAAGCTGCTTGTATTGAGTACATTTATCATCTGGAATGCTTTTGAAAGTCAACATTCACCTTCTTCATGAACAATATTTGTGATACTAGAGTGATATGAGAGTTTCACTATGTTTATGAGCAGTTACAGATAACAATGACATCAGCATGCTCTTGTTTTGTAGATACGCCGTTCAGCTGCTCACCCCAAGCAACATCCTTGCCAGGATAAACGGCAAGGAATCAATAAACAAGGAAGACATAGACGAGATTCACAAACTGTTCTACGATGCCAAATCATCAGCAAAGATCCTTGCAGCACACGAAGACAAATACATGAAATAAACGAGTGTTCCCACCATTCAGTCAACATGTACATAAACATTCAACCTTCGGCATTGTTCAGGCTTTTCATGAACATCATCAAACAGCTCATTCCATTATCAGTTCCGGTACTAGTGAATCCCCTAAATACGGTGATCTGATTGTTAGAGTGAACTATGAATTTCAGAACGTTTGAAATGTACACAACTTGTGTGTACTGGTATATATATAAACTATGAAATCAGCTGGTGAACTGAACATTCGGAATCGTCTTTTCAAGATTGTCACATTTTCATTACAATAGAATTGTGAATACTATTTTCATCACTGTCGTCCTCATGATGTAGTATGACTACATACACAGGTTCAAGAAAACCAGCATTTGTATTGATCTGTTTCTCATTGATATTAAAATATGTATCTCTTGTAGTTCGGCAGTTTGTGTAGTGTATGGGTTATTGTGGAGGGCGTGATGGCTTACCCTGCAGAACAAGCTTGGCAACATAGCGGGCGACTTCATTAGAAACAACCTCATCTTCTCGAAGCAAGGGAGTTAACTGACACTAAAAGTTTCCACCCTGGCCAAATGTGACTCAATCATAGTACCACCAATCAGATTCCATCTCTCATATCACTTGCATTTGCTTCAAACACAAGGGCGGCACCCAGTCAAGACGATCTGATTGATTATCAAGATATTTATTGTAATACAATTGGTCTTACCTCGTAAAGTACATCAAATCCCTTGAACCCCTTGATTAACAACGCCCAGTTTACGGTACACGTTTTGCAAATCCTGCAGTCGACCAAAATCTGCACAGCAGTCGCCATATTGCTTACGAGCCCAATCTCCATTTCGATTTTGATTGGACTGTGCATAGAGTCGTTAGTCCAGCCAAAACATAACTCTATAATTCCAGCCTAGTTCGGCAAGGGTGGAAACTGGAATTTTATAGTCAGTTCTCTTGCCTCGGGACAAGTGTGGGCTTCTTGGAACATACTCAGACCCTGGAGCTCCAAGAAGGGGTTTGTCAGTTTCCCTGGCATGTAAAGGATCTGATGGATAGCTAGTTGTGAAATGTCATATTCCCATCAGTCAATTCTGGCAATGATCAATGAAGGGAGACGGCCCTACTTACAGAGCCGAATACCCGACATGGTTCACAGTGATATCCCACTACAACCTATAGCAATCTCTACTTTCAATAGTTGTAGCTGACGGAGAGAGTGGGCCCAGTTTCACAAGGCAGTCTGCAATTCAGCACTATTTCAGCCACACTGGCACATCTACCTTCACATATTGTACCCATCACTGTCCATGCAGGGAATTAAATCTGTATATGCCCAGAGCAACTTCTACTGAATGAACCTAAGTACCAACTCACCCCTCAAGAAACTGCCTCCATTGTGTAAATAGGCATCGAAGTTGCAATCAAATACAAAACAGTGAAGTCCAGTTTACACAAAGTTTTTTATTGTTATTTTTTCAACACTGAGGACTCGTGATACAGAATGTCTCTTTCATACCGACCCAATCTAACAACATACGACACTTTCTTCAAAACAAAAGAAATGCTTCAGAAACTGAGACGCCTAAAATAAGTTTGCTTCATATAACAAATTCTTGAACTACATTTTGATGTCACTATGCTCATGTAGTCCCTTCATTGTTGATAAAAATAATGTAATGAAGTCATGAGGCTACTTGCAAAGATGAACTTATAAACTTTCTCCATGACCACAGAGATTGTTCTTCAAATTTGTATCCATGTCATTATCTTAAAATCTTTTCCCCTCTACGTTATATTCCCTTATAAAATATCTTTGGCAAATAAATCATTAAAACAATCGAGCTGTGGTCATTTTCTACTTAACAGATTCCACCGAGATCTGTGGATTGCAAATGATATCTTAATAACTAATGACAAGGATTCATGTGACAAGAAATATATGTACAAATGCTGCAGATTCAAAAATAGCTGCAGAATAATAATAATAATATTAACATTAATTGTTTATCCGTATCCGAAAGTCTAGAAGAGTAGTGTGCTCATGCCGCCCATTTCGCTCTGTTCCTTGACGAAAATTTCAAAGTACTGGTAAATAATTGTTACAGCCAGCAAGATTCCAGTTCCACTGCCAATGGCACCTGAAAAAAGCAAAGAATAAATATATACCATCAGATTCCTATCATACATCAACAAGCAAATAATGGACAACTTATGTGACTGATAAATATCAGATATTGGTACATTTTAATGTATCCCAATGCTGAGAATCTTTCAAATATTTGACACTCCTGAAGTCTGATGATGGTTGTAACAAGTAACTGTTTGAAACTGTACTCTACAGTTCTAAAGTTCATTTATAATATACATGACTTAAGAAGTCGATATCAATGTGTGTGTGAGTGATGGAGTTGGGGTCACTGCTGCGCTAAGCAGTCTTTCAAATATATCACGGTGTCCGCTTAATGCGAAGATAGCCGAAAGTGATGCTGATCTTAGAAACCTGTGAACTTAGCTGTGGAGCCGACAAACAAAAAATAATCGGGAGGAATCTGGGATTTGAACCCATGAGCATAGGATTAAGGTATGCAACTCTGCTCAATGAATTGAAGCAACTTGGTCAACTTCATCCCAACTAATGGAGATTGATTCCTTGTAGCACACTTACCCATGAAGTCAGCCATGACGGAGAGGGCTCCGATACACAGACCACCAAATGCAGCAGCTGTGGGGATGTATCTGTTCAGCTCCTTGATCATGGACTTGTCTCGGTGACCTCGCATCACCATCTGCTGCTCCTTCAGTTGCTTAGCAACCTAGAAAATTAGAGAAACATTGTAGATATTCCTGTTGCAATATTAAGATAACAGTCAATACGTTGGCATTAGCATGTTATCACTGTTTTAACTCAGAATTGCATTTCCTTAGACAACTGAGGCGCCAGAAAATGTAATCCATTTAACATAACCGATACACCATATATACAGTGTATGTGAAGTGTAGCTTGAAGCACATACATTATCATTCAAAGCTATTGCAATCATTCTAAATAGCAAGTCAGTATAAGGTTTGAGATAAATTTTCCAATGTTTGTTGTTTAATGCCACGCTTGGCAATATTCCAGCTATATGACAGTGGACCAGATGATCCAGTGATTGATATCATGAACATCAATCTACACAGCTGGAATATGATGATGTGCATCAACCACTAAGCCGCAAGCATGGGTTGCTGAAGACCTATTCTATCCTGGATCTTCATTTGTCTTTTCCAGTGTAACCAATATGATCACATGTATGCAGATACAATATGTTTTTACATTGAGCAACAGTAAGTATGTTGTTAGATACAATTCAACAATAACTTGGTACTTACATCTTTAGCACTAGACCCTGAGACTTCAATCCAGGTTTTAGAGAAGAATGCGCATGATCCCAACATAAAGACTATGTAGAGAACAGCATGGATAGGATCTTCCACTACATGTGATAACGTCTCCGGCGGAGACAAGTAGTAGCATAAACCTCCTACAGGATATGACCTGGCCGGGCCGCCGCCTCCAACATCCTGCACATAGAGAACCCACATTCAGAGCCACACCACACGCCAATAAACATTTATAACACATCATAAAATAAATTGAATCTATGCACAAAATATATGAAGCAATGTTTGTCTTTGTTTTGAAAAACAATCTCATCCGCGACCTTAGTAACTAGTCTGAAGTCTTGTAAATCTCTTCCTGGTCTGTTTGTTTGAATGTTAATTTGTCCAATTTTGTTTCACTTCTTGGAAGCAAGGCGCCATCCGTGAATCTACAATCTATTGAAACCAACCAAAGGCAAAAACACTTCAAGACTGTTGTGTTGAAAACAGTCTAGTTTGTGACCCTCCAATTATTTAAAATCAACCAAACAAATACTCACAGCCCAAGCACCGAGCAAGTTGACGAAAAAGTTTCCACTGAACTTTGTAGCCAACATCTGTGAAATGACGTAGAGATTGGATACTAGGGCACTCTGAAGGATGATGGGAATGTTGGACGTATAGAACAGCTTGATGGGGTATGACGTGTACTGTCCTCTGTAGCGAGCCGACTTGATAGGAAGATCCACACGGAATCCCTGAAAATCAAACAAGTCAATAAAAATATCTATCTCAATTGTCAGCAAAAGTAATTACATAGACTTCAAATTCTAATCTTATTTCTGAATTCAAAATTAACAACAAAAGCATATCATAAAACTATCCCTTACACTACACACTAACTACAATTAATCCTTAGATGTAATCGTTATCACCATATTGAAGCTATGAAAACTACTTTCACATTATTTCATCATAATCAGCCTAACTAATCATGTTTGACATACCTGGAAGTATATAACTATGGCAAACACAAAGATGGTGGCCATGAGGTTCATGAGGTTAGGGAGGTTCTGTCTGTAGAAAGCCTCACGCAGAGCGCGGACCTTGTCGTTCCTTGTAGCCAGCAAGTGGAACAGAGCAATAATGGCGCCCTCAAACTCTGTGCCTGTAAACAACAATCACACATTACTGAAGGTGGGCATATGCAAATCAGGCTATACTTGACTATCCCACAAAGCTTACATCACTACAACATCACCATCTTGTTAATTTTAAAATAAACTAAAAGCTTTATCTTACATATACTATTAAAATGTGACTTAATGGTATGTTGCAAAGTATAGTAAGAAGGTACCCTGTATGTAGGCCAATGATAAACTTACCTCTTCCAGTGTTGACAGTGGCAGGGCTGAATGCCTTCCACACAATTGTCTCGCAAATGTTGGTGGCGATAAACAGTGAGATACCCGAGCCAAGACCGTAGCCTTTCTGGAGCAGTTCATCAAGGAGCAGCACAATCAGACCAGCAACAAACAGCTGAAACACAGGCAGGAAATCATGACCACTGAACAACGACTACTGAGGTATAGTCAGGGCTTGATTTAACCACATAAAACATGCACAAATGCAACCTGATATTGAAAACTGCAACCTATTATTTATATCTACATGCACCCAACACAACATGAGTCTTTTAATTCAATACATGCACCAGTCAACATTCACCAGGTGCAAGCTATATCTGGTTCCTAAATCGAGCTGTGTATAGTCAACCATTGTGGTAACGCAATCCCCTAAAATACCTCCCTAGATGACTAATATGTCTTATAATTACACAACATTGCTAAAGTTCCGGAACATGATCCACTTGTATTTCGTTAATAATCCCTTCATAGATGCAACAAGCTTGACTTAAAACAACTGCACTTTGTCAAATCCATTTTGAATATCTATGACAAGCATATCATGTTCTCGACCTTGCCCTGCTATCTTATGACACAGACTGGAGGATATTTGTGTATGTACAGAAATATTACAATCTTTCACAAACTGACATAGTGTCACCTATTTAAATGTTCTATTTTTCCATCGCTAACAAACACTTGTAAGCAAAGCTTGAGAAAACTCACCTGGATGATGATGAGAAGGCAGACACCAGCTCCGATCTCTGCAGGGTCACCATACATTCCTGTCATCACGTAAACGATGGCCTGACACACCGTGATCACCATACCAAACACTGGATCAAGGAGAAAGAAAAGTTACCACAATCTTGTCGAAAATGAGGAAATAATTGGACATTTCTTAAAAACAAACTTACTTCCTGAATTAAGAATTATTTTTTGGGTAATACAGATTCTATTTTTTTACAGAAGTCTTGAACTTAGATTATCATCATGCTTACATTTATTTGCTCCATTGTAGAGCGCTCTGTCTTTAGGAGTGTCACCAACTTCAATGATCTTGGCTCCGGCCAACAGCTGCATGATGAGGCCAGATGTCACAATGGGAGAAATACCCAACTCCATCAATGTACCTGCACGAATACAACAATGTTTTATGAACAGGTTTATCTTTAACCACAGAACTTAATCTTTAACTTTAGAGGTGAGTTGTAAGGGGGTTTAACATCGCGCCCAAGATGTGTGTGTGTGTGTGTGTGTATGGGGGCGCGCTTGTACTAGTCCAGACTGATGCCGATTTTATAGTGCTAGCCCACTGAGATACCATGCTGCAGTTTAACACAAATACCCCACTCAGACACAGTAAACTGACTCCAAGCCGACCAGTCTTTGTTTTAGCCCCTTAATGTCGAGCGCCAGACATGGTAACAACAAATACCATCTTTTAGCGTCTTTTGGTATGAAGCAGCTGGGGATCGAACCCCGAACCTTCCGCTCTCCGGGCGGACACTATACCACTAGACCACGGAGGCAGTCTTATCTATAGAAACACACTAAAAAGGTGTAATTCATCGGAGTACTAAATACTGTAAACTTATTGACGTGAATTGATATAACATGTTTGGTGGAAATAACAAGTTAAATATAAAGAACCCACCTCTGTTTGAAGCCAAGATGACACGAATCCAGTAGAAGGGATCGGCGGAGTCTGAAGACATGATTCCAAACAAGGGAATCTGAAATAAAACAATCGTCACATGTAGAGCCAAAGTGAATATTGGCTATGAATCGAACACAGATTGAACTGTAGCAGCTGACAACATGGAGATGCTAATGATAATCTTTTGTCCAATATTGGAATTCTTTCATCAGCTATAAGAAATTCACTTTAATGCTGCCCTTGAAATAGGTATGTGCTAAGAATATATAGGTACGTGCTAAGAATATACATATTTTCATTCAGTATCAAACTGATTCTGTGTGGAACCCCCCCCCCCACCCCCCATAAATTTGTTCATGCCTCAATCTCATCTATTTCTCCCCACGCCATACCAAATGGTAATGGATAAGTTGAAAATGAAGATGTACTTGCACTAATAAAACAAGTACAAAATTATGGTAATATCTACACAACATACCTGACAGCAGACAAGGAAGATGAAAAGTGTGATGGCTGTCCATAGCACCTTCTCTCTGAATTGGATCTGAAACATAAGTAATGTTTATACTTGCTCATTAGGTGCTGACCAAACGATGAGAAAACAAGCATTTTCTAGATGGTATATTCTGTGTGTAATTCAATGTGTAATGATCGGAGCTGTTTGTAAACAGTTGTGAGTTGAAATGGCAATTTAAAATAGAATGTTCTCCAAACTACTTTCACTATTTGAATGATGCAACAAATAACTAACACTGTTATAAGTTTACCATATGTTCAAAAATACACCACAATTTTAAATCGCCATATTTAAATAGAAAACTTATAGCAAAACAACAATAGTGATAACATACTCATTTTGAATGTCACGATTGTGTATTTAGAGAGTTGACAGCTGTGATACATACCTTTCTATCCGGTTTGGCTATTTCTGGTAAAACCGCACAAAACGGCTTTACAAACTCCAGGAATTTAACTGAAATTAAAAGGAACACATAAATAAACAACTAGAGTGACTTATTCTACCAAAAGATGGGGAAAATCACGGATAATGATGGGGATTCTGACAAGTCTTACAAAACGACACCACATTTCTAACAGCCACGTAAGCACGGACACTCGCGCCGGTAGAAGGGATGTGTACTGCGACAAATACACGATCAAGGAATAAAATATGACGTATACTTACTCCCCATAGTTGGATGTTGCCACCGATCACTTTTGATGAACTTTAAAGATGTTTACAGACGCAAATTTTCTATATGAATGTCCGGGGACAGGCCACCTGCACACAGAAGTATGGATGCGTCTCTTAAAAGAAAGGTCACGTGACGTGCTACGTGGGTTCTTTCAAATTTTATTGGTCGAACTATTTTGTTTTATGGTAGTCACACATGATTACTTCTGAAATGAGTATCTAATCTTATGCTTAGAGGTATATTTAATCTGTGTCTATTGTTTTCATAGCGGTAATTATGACGTCATGACCATTTCCACGGTAAACAATATGGCGGAGCGGGCACCTGCCAAGGAGCGATAGGGCCTCGGGAAACAAGTTGACACTATTATTTACAGACTTGGTAATTGATATACTTGACTAACTTTACTGTGTTTTTACTTATTCAAGCAGCGGAAAATATTTGCTGTTAGCTATAGAATTAAGTAAATCACAGTTTGTTTTTTATGACTGATTATAGATCTACGGCGACGTCGTAGGCCGTAAGTCTACCATAACATACTTTGTTACCCATGTCAGCAAAAGGTTTTGATAACAAACGTAATTTTCCCAAACAACACGTAAATATCTCAAAACAGCAGTGATTTATGTCCCAAAAACTGAATGTGGGATAGCATCTATGGCATGTGTCTTGTACTAATTTTAAATTTCATAACATAATGTGTAATCGCTGCATGGTTACACGAGATTAAATGCTTTAATTTTGTACAGTGCTACTAAATTATATGCAAACATATCTGAATAAATTCCATCTACTCTAAAAAGCATGTTGTTTCAGATGTCATTATGGTTGTGCATATACAATTAAATATGTAGCTTTTAATGTATATTCATATTTGAATATATGAATCTATATATCTAATTCTGTTAATATTGGTAAATATTACTGAAATAATTCTATCTTTTCATTTTAATGGCAGTCTCAAGACGTTACAATGGGAGCAAGTCAGTCACATGATCAGCTGATGCCAGAAGAGAGGAAGCTAAGACAGGACCCTGAAAAAATAGCAAGAATTGCTCGGTATCTCTCTGCTAGACAAGGAACTCAGAAAAGTTTAGTTAGTGCAGAAGAATTCAGTCAGCATGAACAAGATAAGGTACACGCCATGCCAGGGAATCTTTTCCTGTCAAACATATACCCTATCAAATGATGCATGTAATTTATACTGAAACACTATTAAACCATAGTTTTCACATTGTGTCATATATTGTGCTGATCATGTTGATTCGTTATTTCAGTTGGAGCTTTGAATAATAAAAAAAGTGTTTTACATATGGCAGTAGAAATATGTCAGGTCAGTTTACACTTCAATCATGTTATGGGAGAAGGGCTCTCTTCCTGTGTGCTCATACATTATCAGTTGTCAGCAATACCTGTACTTTGACTCATTAGCTTGTAGACAATGTGAATATCACCAAACAATTGTTTGAAAGTGTGGCCACTCCTGAGAAAGATTACCAATATTCCATATCAGCATATAGAAAATGGTACATGCAGTTATGCTGAATTATCTCCCATTTTGGACTAGCGAGCAGCCAATTTTCATTTTCAGCAAAGTATGAAGATTCTGAAAGGGATTTACAAGAGGCTGGATCCCACTATCATGAAATCTACATTGGATGTGAATGGGGAAGTGCAGCTGTCATTCAAGTATGACTTAAATCGGGACCTATTGCTTGTCAAGGTCATCCGGTGCAGGGAGTTGAGGAACAGGGATGTCCGATCCAAAGCCTCTGATCCATATATCAGAGTATGTGTGTTGTTTCTGTATCTCTGGTTTAGGGGATCACATGCATGCATTTTATTTAATTCAGTACATGATATGAATAAATATAGATCCATATAAATCATATAGATTTGATTAAAAGCATGGGTTTTAATAGACTGAAGACAGTTTGAAGAAGTCACGATGAAGATGTACATGTACATAAGTTGTACACACGAACATTAGTGCATACATTTGCTGCCTTATATTCGTATGATCTGTTTATTGAACATTCCCCTGCATGGCTTATCATCCTACAAAGACTTACTGTTGTCATTGAAAGGAAATATGATGAAGGAAAATAAAATCTGAGAGTTATTATTAGAATCAGGTATTGCTTGATTATAGTACACAGTATCTGTCGCCATTTGTAATTCCAGCTGGCAATAATCCCTGACAGTCGGGGACAGGGAGCAAAGACCACTCAGATTGTTGTAGAGACGAACGAGCCCGTGTTCAACGAGATATTCGCGTTTACAAAGACAGAACTTGAGCTTCTGGATTCCAAGTTGATCGTCCAGGTCTGGGACTACGACGTGTCTAACCGAGATGACTTCCTGGGGGAGGTGATCATTGACATGACAACATTCAACTTCAAGGAGGAACCAGTGCATACGGCCTGGTATACACTCAAAATGGAGGTACGGTTGGTTACATTGGTCTTATGGATAAAAATGCATGGTCATATATTTAATGTGTTTGTATATCTTTTAGGAGATATAAAGGCACAACAATAGGCATGGTTTAGATAAAGATTTGGTCTGTTTGCCTCTGCTCTTACTGATTTGGTTAGTCAAGTAGCCCAGTGTATAATGTGTTCAACTGACATGCCTAATATCTTGTTTGATTCCCTTAAAATATTTGATGCCTTTTGCCTGTCATGATGTTGCAAAAAGCTATATAAGTGGCGTACAACCTCACTCACTTTCTCCCTGATCTTTGTTTCATTCATTACATATGCAGAATATTTCACGTCTCCTTTTTCTCTTGATATTGACTTTTTTCTTGACTTTAAATGTATCAGTACAACAATTAACAGTTGGAAAGCTTTGTACAGGCTTGAAAAGGCCTTGAATTTTTAAGGTTCCTCCTGAAAAGCCTTGATTAATTTTGTCAACCTTAAAAAGCCTTGAAAATAAACAAAATAACATGAAAAGCTTTGAATTTGTGCAAAGTGACATATGCATGTACTTGTAGATAAAACTTTAAGTTTGATTTATCACAATGAAAGATTTGTGTGCCAAAGACCATGAAGAATTCATGACAGGCATAATTTATTTTTGTTGTTGGTTGTGACACAATAAATCTTGTTGAAAAAATTGTGATGTTCATACTGCATTTTAGATCTTATGACTAATATATACAGTAGTAGGCTGGATTTTAATAAACTATTGACTGACTAAGGCTTATATCTCCACTAAAAAAGCCTTGAAAATGCCACTTGATAGCCTTGAATTTTAGTGTTCCACATCTGTATGAACCTTGGTTAAATATCATTGCCAACTAGTGCCACCTGTATGAGTTGACTTTCTGTCGGTGTTCAGACTGACCTCAGCATCAGTGGGGAGATGGACATCAGCATGGCGTTCCAGGCTCCGGACCACCTGTACGTGACGGTCCACGGGGCGACTAACCTCTCCCCCAGGGATGACAGCACCCTCGCTGAACCCTTTGTTAAAGTCAGTGTCCCTGGTGTGGGAATGGTCTGCAAATCTGAGGTGAGACATGGGATGTCTGAAGGAAGTGACAAGATTTAGATGTGAAACCCATTCAGATGGGTTCGTTAAGACTCGATTGACGACATAGCAAATATATCTCTTGAGCATTTATTTATTATCTTTTGAAATTGGACTAAAATTTGAATTTCTGGTGGTTCATGTGGTGTTGTGACATGGCATGTTTCTATTGGTATTGTTATGGCAATCATAAATATCATTAGCAGTCAAGTCACTATAAGCAGAGATAAGAGTTGTCTACCCTTGATCAAGGTTTTAATGATGCAGTTTGACAAACAGCAGTGTTGTTATCCTTACAACATTGAATATCAGTTTTGTTGCTTGTGGAATGGCATGCTTAAACAATAAGACACAAAGTGTTTTGTTTTAGCTCTTAAGTTTAAGACTGAACATCCTATATTTTCTGATTGAAAATCTATTTGCAAAGAGATGTTCGTTATGAAAAGTACATATCAGGATTAGTGATTTCTGTATGATGACATTAGGATGCCAAAGTGCCTTTGCAAATAGGTGAATTTTATCTTTCAGGTGCAAAAAAATACTCTGAATCCAGTATGGGAAGAGACTTTTGACTTTCAAGTGCCATATGAAGAATTGTCATTCAGGTACACACATCGTCAGTCTCATTCTAGCTGTCACAGATTTATGGCAGCTGATTTTGAATTGAAATTTTATTTCATACTGATAATTTGTGCAATCAACTCCTGTGCAAAGTTCTGGTTTTGTAAATGGATTGATGACAGTTTCAATTGTTGTCAACATTTTTGTGTGAAAGAACTTTTGATAGTTTCTGTAGATGTCATCATTCTGTTATGATGACAAATAACTCGGTGAGAGTCCTTTATATGATGGTACATGCACATGAAAGTTTGTGGACATGTCAGTCAGTACGATACAGTCAGAACGTGACAGCTTATAGAACATGACTATACAACTTTGTCTTTTGGCTCTTCCCGAACGCGCTTTACTTATCTATGGATGTTAGAAATGTGTGTAATGACTCATTACACCAGATGCCAGGTGTTATCAATTGCTATGGATAAAAACATGGTTTGTTGCAAGCAGCTGCACTTTTCATTATCAACATGTTATGAAGGGGGATATTATGTCTGTTTATGCTTGATGTTGAGACCCAATGCAAGATGCTCTTCTCTGTACAGATACGTTGTGCTCCATGTGATCGACGAGAGCCAACAGGAAGGTAATGAATCTCTGGGACAAGTTATCCTTGACCTTGACCTCCTGGATCCAGAACAAGGCTACCATGGGACACACAAGCTTGCAGATCTGGTATGCATAGTTGAACTGGAATGTGTCTGTGATGTCACTGTGATCTATCAGTAAGTTTCGTTGATAAGACAATACTGTGTCTGTGTTACTGCTCGTACAGATATCAACCCCTATTGTGGATTCCAGGTTAGAATAGGTCCCCCTGTGCTTGTCCTACAACTAATTGGATCTGGTGATCAGGCTTGGTAACCTGGTAAACTGCCATTATTGTATCCTGATGGCTTGGGACTCCACTCCTGTGAATTTATGGTATATCTGGTGCGGGCTCAATTATTTACTGTCCCTGTCCTATGACTGAAATATTGCTTAGTGTGGTATTAATTAGCAAACAAAGAAGAAGATACCAAGACCAATATATTGTCAATGTAGGCTAAATCATGAATTTCAGAAAAACAGTGAGCGTATCCGGAACAAGTGGTCCCAGAGCATGATTGGCCAGGAGTTCCGAGAGTCCTTCCAGGCGCACGCCTCCATCCGACACCCCAACTTCCTGTTCCAGCAGCAGTCCGGGAAGAAGGTGCGTCCCCAGTACTCGGGGCTACAGTGACACTTGGTGGACTGTAGGCCAAGGGATCCCAACATGGGCTGTAACGATATACTCTAGTGCAATATGATACGTGTCTTGATAGTAGGCCACAGGTTACAGTACTTGAACTCGACACATGACATGTTAAGGAAACATTTTCATTATGAATAGATATGAAAATATGAATCTAAAACATATTAGCTTGAGAGTTGTTATACATACAACAGAAAATAGCACAGTAGAATGTGGATATATTGAACCACAGTTTGTTACATACATTGTTCGTTATACATGTATATGTTTTCTCTCATAAATGCCTGTCATGTTGGATAAGACAAAACTCAGTAATTGCAGCATTGGCGATAATCCCATGGTCCATTGACTTGATCTTAGATGTTGTGTTGGGTGGTAGAAACACAACTTTAATGTTCGTGAGATGAGGCGCATTTGTGTGCACAGGTAGTTGTCAAGGTTTAACAAGGTCGATTCGTCACCACTGATTTTTTTATTTGTCGCGATTTTGTTGATTTGCTGAATGTGTATGGCCAGTTGTAAATGAAACTTGAGACTGAGTGAAATTTCTGTTTGCTATACACGTCACTAATTAGTGGTATTTGGGCTTGTTGGGGATCAGATATCAGGTCGCTATATATGTTAGAGAGTTGGTTATGTACATACATTTTATATGATAATATATAGGAGATAAATCAGGGATTGTGTAACAGTTTGTTGTATATGTTTGTTCGCTCTATCAGTGTTCGTTCTATCAGTGTTCCATTCCATGTATCACCTGTATATACTTGCATCGTTTTGTAATGGTACATGACCAACTGATACAGTACTCTTCTCATGGCACAGAGGATCATGACGGACCAACTATACAGTGAATAGTTGCGCCTTTAATCCCTCCATGTTTCCAAATCTCGGAGAACAAAAATCGTGGTTGTTGAAATAAATAGTGATATACCCCTTGATTTCATGGGCTATTGTGATTTACGAAAGTTCATGGTTTGTGTGCATTATCCCAAATGTAACTTTATAATTATGAGGGGTCAGTTTATGACGGAAGATAAGTCGTTTCCAGAATACAACTATTCAAATACACACAAAACTAGATTTTACTAGAGATTGCGTTATTGAATATTTTCATAAATAGCTTCTGCTTGTTGTGTCAATCATTGTAAAATTTGCAGGTAATAGATCTGTATCATGTGAAATATGACGTGATGTTAACAGGAAAGTATATGACATGTATTCATGTATATTTCAGGTGATCAGCGTCAGCTGCCGTAAGGCCCGGAGTCACGCCAAGATCAGGATAGTTGATGGCATTGCCGTCAACTAAACAGACGGGATAGCATCCTCGTCAACTAAACACACTTACTGGCATCCTTAACGAGACTCAACTTCAATTCTGTATTTGGTTGATGTAAAGTAGATAATGAAAACACAAACTTTCGAACCTGCAACCAATAACCATATCAGCATTATGTTTCAATGTAATGTTTACACACTCAAATTTGGACAGTGGACGTATCTATGTTTCGATACTGTTGATCATTATGTAACAATTTTACAATTTATGTTGTTTGATACAATCTTTGTTTTTCCATTCATTTAAGATGTATTGGCTGTTTGTATTTGATACAATGTTTATACTTTGACCTGTATACAGTGTATACATGAGGGATATGGTGTTTCTTACCATTCAACGACTCTATGGTACTAGCACTCTGTGATACACACAATCTAGCATTAGAGCAAATAGTTTTTCCATGTTTGACATCGCCAGATATACCATTTGTACTGCTGCTCCAAAGAAAAGTTTCTTTATATACCTGCTGATCCAAACATACAACTGGTCTTGCCTTGGGGAAACACTCACTAGAAAAGATATACCGGTCCTTAAATAAATCTTCATGTGTCTTTGAAATGAAGACAACAGCTCAAGTGTTCTGCTTGCCCAGTTAAATGTGAAGAGCATTTAGGGATCATTGGGAGAAATTGGCCTCATGTCTTATGTCAGTTTTTTAACCTTTTGTAAACAAAAAAATAGAAAATGGTGAGAGAACAGTTAATTGGCTTCCTTGTGCTGTGCGGTGTTGCAACTGATAGGCACACCAGGAACCTATGATCAGGGGTTCGAATCCCGGCTTGCCCTGATTATGTTTCTAGGTTTGTCAGGTGGTAAGCATCTAGGACCTGCATCACTTAAGACTTTCCCACATCAAGCTCATATGTAGTCATATACCTTAACTATTGTTCAAAGTGACGGCAAACAAAACTCACTTACTTTTGTATGTAAATGTTTTGATCCTTAAAATTTGTCTGAAGATTCTTGGAACGCCCAAAGAGAAGATAATTATTACTTTGAAGTTTTATTGTCTATTTATTGATTTTTATTTGGTGCAATTAATTGTGGTATTGCAATATGGACCATTTTGAGAGAAGACATTAATATGAATTGGTTACTGTTGACCAGTTACACTGGCATAATTGTCTTATAGTTTTGTTTATTTATGAATGACAAATATACATGTAAAGAAATACACCTAGGGCAGGACCCTTCACACTCTTCACTATTGTTTATTCTTGAAATGTGGTAGGCTACTTTAAGTATGCTTGTTACTGTCATTATTTTAACACATTTATAATATATTTACAGTGTACTTGTCAGTTGGAATGAAAAGCATTTGTTTTAAGGTAATCGTGTGTTAGATTCATCAGTCTACTGATGTTTCTTCATTTCTTTATGGCTTGTATTCCTCATATTAATAAGTAACAATTTATTACTAAACTGATATGGTAAATAAAAATATATTTTTCTTATTGATACACTAATTTACATCAAAACTGCATGTGTTTAAGACATATATTTGCCATGTAAGCAAAAATGTTTCTAATCAAAACAAAATGCATTTGTGTTTGTTAAATCTTTAAAGATTTGCATCCGTCCAATATTTACATTTTATACAGAATAAATACTTGTTATATTTATGCCATATTTCATTTTTCTTTTATTTGCAAAACAGGAGACAACGATAAACCAATCAAAAGTTCTTAAACGAGCAATGGTAAATTCAGGTAATTGACTACACTAGAAGTGCAAGCAGTACTTTGATGTCAGTGGAGGTCATACATTTTGTAACACACTGTCAACAGGAATGTGAAACTTTAATGGAAGTCTGATAGTGATCTGAGATGTACGTATAATGTATGTCAAGTGAAGTTACAGTATTCACTTCTGCTGTAGGTCACGCTGTCATAACTGAAGCACCGCTACGAAGCTTGTGAATACAACCTCTTCCAGGTTTAATATTTATGATGCGGTGTGTCAACAGCGAGTTGGGGGACAGCAAACAGACAGGTAACTCTGTAGGGGGGGCTGTCACCTTCAACGTGTCGTCTGCAACCGGTCCGCCATGTTGACATCTGTTGCAGACACGTGCGACCTTGCCGAGATCATGCGATACTCTTCTAACAAACGTAATTATCATGGAGCGATGGAAATTAACGGCAACAGGCTGAAGTCATAAGTTTTTATCAGTAGAATGCTCCACTAGTTAATTAATGTTACAGGGATATATAGAAAAAAATATTCACACTATATCTGGCGCTATGATTGACAATGAAATGACTTATTTAAAAGGAATAGTTGAAACGAAGTAATTTTGATGATGTGTTGTTGTACAGACAATCAGATTAGTCTGCAGTACTGTAATATAACAGGGATTGTCTAATGGTCATTGCCCTATATTTCATGTGTATCAAAGTATGTGGTTAAATTAAGACATGAAACGTTACGTTCTTCCATCAAACGATATTTGGCAATTTTATTGCACAATACTAATTACATAAAACCATCCTGATCCGCCCTTGTGGAGGTGCACAGATCACAGTCACCATTCATCTTCGGTCCACAAAAGACATTTAAAACAATGCATTGAGATGCGTCATATATTCTGGAGCTACCTCATTAATCACTCGCCACCTGGAGTTTTATATACCATATATTCCCAAGTACCCTCGGGAAACTTGCCTTTATTTACAACTCTCGCCGTATGGCATTTACACGATTAGGTAACTTTCGATAAGCCCGGCTTTAATTTCAGTGGTGACAATGTCGGTGTTCTTTTACTATCCCAGTTTCACCAAGGTGGCCAGTCGAGCTGTCCCTTCACGCCCCGGGCACTGTCATATTTCTTTCTGCTACTGTGAGTCACGGTGAAGCACAAACCCAGCCTACGTGATACTGTCGTATTCAGCTTACTTGAGGAACACATGGAATGCCCGGAGGTGAACATGTATCACTCTGGTTTATACACTGTGGTGTGTGCATCGAAGTCGGGATTCACTCAAGGAAATCTACACAACGAAGGCTTATCCTCTTATTGCAAGTGAACTGCGGTAGTACACTAAATCTGGATATATAGCGGTTTGGGAGTCATAGTTCGCAAGTGCACTTAACTGCGATAATGTATACTCGGCATGTCGTTTCTTGTGTGAGTGAGTGAGCGAGTGAGTTGGGTTTTACTCCGCTTTTAACAGTATTCCAGTTATATCCCGGCTTGTCAGCTTAATGTGGGAGGAAAGCCCGAAATGATGCAGGTCTCAGACGTTAACCACTTAGGTGAAACCCACGAGCACGAGTATGGTGCCGACAAACCTAGAACCATAATTGGGGCGAACCGGGATTCGAACCAATCATAGGTTTCTGGCGTGCCCAAGTGACGCGAATTGCAGAACCTTAGGCGACTGGGCCACCCGTGCTCCGATATCGTTTCTTGAATAAATTACTTTCACTTTGTGTGAGTTCATTGGAGTGTGAATCCCTATAGAGTAAGGGCCATATTTATGGACGCATGGGTTTGCGAAACAAACAGAAAACAAATTGCTTGGCTAGCCAATCAAATTCTGGGAATCTCTTACAGTTTATTTATGCATGCCGTTACACAACACAGCTACAACGGTGGCGGTTCCATCTACAGGTGAGATGGTGACATCTGTTCCTGCAGCTCTATAATGACGTCTTAATTCTACAGGTTCTGGGATGTGCATAAATCATGTTTTAATATTACCAGAGACCAGAGATGATGTATTTCGGGTGGGCACAATTGGCTGACTGCCGTGCCCATGCAGATGGAGGGGATTGTTGTTGACAACGTCGGTCACTGCATGATGTGCAAGACGACACCAGTCCAGCATACGCCCAACCTCCCTGCTGAAACATCCCATTTCGTTACATCTGCATGTGTAGTTCAGTTGTTGAGTACAAGAACTTGAAATACAAAGGTCATTTCAGCACACCCTGAAATCATTAACTAGGATTATACCAGTCGGTTAACCCTCTTTTCACTAGGTGCTAGATAGCATTTTTCTCGATTTAAAAACTAAAGATTAACCTCTCTAAGTGTATATATTCCAAGTGTCTGCTATGTAGGGATATAAACACAGCTAACACTGGAACATAACTTACTAGATATGGACTCAACATACGCATTGATAAATATAAGTCGCCTGTCTGTATTAGGTCTGTGTTTTATGGTACTGAGGAGATGTGGGTCTACATATTCGATGTTGGTCAGTACATTGTTTTGAACAAGGGATATAGTTCTATTAATATACAACTTCTTTATTAAAATGACTGCAACGTGTCGGTGTAGATACTAACACCGTTATTAAGGGCGTTATTAAGCAGTTTTAAGTGGTAAGATCCAAAATATACTGAACAACTAAAGTTCCTGTAACACCAATATTTTAGTGTATTTTTCAAACAAGTAAAGTTTGCTCTTCAATATTGTAGTACATATATGGAATCAAGTCACAAAAACGCAACTGCTACAGAAAAGCATGCATTCCATGCAAAAGTTGACTCTTATACAAGCCCCATGCATTTCACCACCCAAGAATGGGTATAAAAACATGCGCGTTAACGGGATTCCATATGCATTATTAGCATCGTGCTGACAACAACCACTCAGAAAAACAACAAAATTATACAATTATTCAACATTATACGAAATGCCACGCCTGTCCGAAAACGAGCGTCTGCGAGCCATTGGTATGCTTGAAGCAGGATCGAGTCAACGTGATGTTGCAAGACAATTTAACGTCCATTGAAACACCATTTGGTGTTTATGGCAACGTTGGCAACAGACGAATGCAGTCAGAGACCATTCTCGGAGTGGCAGGCCACGCGTAACCAATAATCGACAAGACAACTGGATTCGAACAACACACCTACGAAATCGATTCCAGCCAGCAACAGTGACTGCAAGAAGCATCCCTGGCCTTCGACGAATATCTTCACAAACCGTACGTCGTCGCCTCAGATGTGCAGGGATTGTCGCGAAAAGACCCGCCAGACGTCCCATTTTGACAGGAAACCACCGTCAAGCAGGTCTACAGTGGTGCAGACAGCGTTTACGCTGGACAGCCATGCAGTGGGGACAAGTTCTATTCACTGACGAGTCTCGTTTTCACCTCAGCCACAGTGATGGACGGATTCGAGTGTACCGACGTCGAGGTGAACGTTACGTCAATCATTGTGTCATGGAAGAAGATCGGCTCGGGGGCGGCAGCGTTATGGTATGGGTGGGATTACAGCAAGACAGAGGACCTGTTTGATAGTGGTAGAGGGAAATCTCAATGGACAGCGCTACCGCGACGAGATCATTGGCCCTGTTGTTCTACCGTTTTTGCGTCGTCATGGCCCAGGCATTACCTTTCAACATGACAACGCCCGGCCTCATATTGTTCGACTTGTTCAGGATTCTCTTCAACAAAACATCCCCTGGCCGGCTCGCTCCCCTGATCTCACACCAGTCGAGCACATGTGGGATGAGATGGAACGGCGCCTTCGACGTCTACCACTTGTTCCACGGACACTCCAGGAACTTCGAAACATGCTCCAGCAGATATGGACAGATATCCCACAGGACTTTGTGCGACGCCTGGTCCATTCCATGAGACGAAAATGTGTTGCTTGCATCGCGACCAGAGGTGGACACACACGCTATTGATTTGTAAATTGACATTTTGGCATGTTCATGTTTTTTTTAATGAAATCACGTCAGTATGGCAAATTAAACCATTTGAACAGGGGTCTTTTATCTGTTGCAAACCGTAATTGTTTCCTATTTGGTAAAAACTTAACTTTGCATTAAATCTTATTCAATGTCACAGGAACTTTTGTTGTTCAGTATATGAAAAATCCCCTCTCGGTCAATGTTACTGCAACATCCGGACCCTGAAGCCATACAGAACCGAGCTACATTGAGGTGTTTTAGAAATACTTCTTTTTAACTTTTCCAATCCAATCATGTTTTAAGGTCAGGCGTCTGTGGAGCCCTTAACCTGCCCGTTTAAATGCATGGTTATATTAAGTGTACAGCGGGAGGTGCTTATATGATCACGTTACACTATCTTCGGCAACACTTGTTGACCTCTACAGACACGATGAACTAAACCGCACAACTTGCTGTGTATTCACTCTGACATATATATACATACTTTTACATATACCAGTGGATGGCGGCTGTGTATTATTTATTTGACACTTTAGTCGGTAAGGGGTTCGCCAGTTATGAATACTTGACACAAACCAAGATTCTCCATACCAACATCAATCATTGGAAAAAGAGGAAACTTCAAGAAAGCATCTAAATCCAAAGAAAGAAGCCAGCCATTAACACAGACCAAGGTATCTTCCTACCCAGTGTGTACTCCACGGTGCTATGATCACGTCATCTATATTACATCTTGATTACCTTATTGCTTGTGCCACAATAGCCAGATCCTTGTCACCACTTTAGCGTACTTATTTGAATCTTCTGTCAATCGCATTGGCTTCGTCATTATATTGTTGTCTTTGGACATTAATCCTTACTCATTGGCTTTGTCATTGTTTTGTTATTTTTGTTCATTCAACCAAACCTTGTGTTTTGCACACACACACACACACACACACACACACACACACACACACACATGATGTAAGAGCAAGAAGTAGCTTTGAAACGTCGTGACAAAGAATAAAAAGAAATTGCTTTCCATATATAGGGTTATGTTTTCATGTTCTCCCAACTTCTAAATGCCTATCAAGGACTCCACCTATTATGTTGACATTTGTGACACATAAGACAACTTTGGTTTCTACGACGCCGTCCTTATCCATTACCTCCACATGTTTGTGGCTTGGTTCGATAGTGCTTCACGCCATCCTCTTGTGTGCAATGAACACCGCAATGTAGTGATTCCGATGCAGAATACGCCTACAACATACATCTTACCTGATACATTCAGTCCTTGTAGCGTAGGCCTGTACATAGTGAGACAGCGTCCAGATGGGTGGGTGACCAGGGAGGATATGTGACGCTAATTCTTATTAACATATTGGGCGGATAGAGCGATCGCTCGTCACGCCGAAGACCCGGGTTCGATTCCCGAGATGCTTACAATGTGTGATATTGCTGGAATATTGCTAAAAGCAGCGTAAAACCATACTCACTCACTCTTATAGACACGTATTGTACCTGGCGATCTCTGACCACGCTATTGTTCACTTGAGCCAGGCTCGATTTCCTTGTCGAACGCAAAAAGTATAATATAAGTCCTAAGCGTGCAGAAATAAAGGCTGGGTCTGGGTAGGGTCCACTGTGAATAAATAAAAACTGGGTCTAGTAAGGGTCTACTGTGAGGGAATACAGGTCGGGTCTAGTAAGGGTCTACTGTGAAGGAATGCAGGTCGGGTCTAGTAAGGGTCTACTGTGAGGGAATACAGGTCGGGTCTAGTAAGGGTCTACTGTGAAGGAATACAGGTCGGGTCTAGTAAGGGTCTACTGTGAGGGAATACAGGTCGGGTCAAGTAAGGGTCTACTGTGAAGGAATACAGGTCGGGTCTAGTAAGGGTCTACTGTGCAGAAATAAAGGCCGGGTCTAGGAAGGGTGCATCTTCCCCAGGCAAGAGAGTTAACTATCTTTTATAGCCCAGTACGTGTATTAGATAGCATGAAGCCCGTATCTCTTGTCTAATATAATTTGATTTAACAGGATGTAGTTATGATATTTATTTTAAGACGTTATCTCAATCCCCTACACGCCTACCAGACGACAGTGTCTAGAAAGGAACCCCACCAGCTCATAGTGACCTCTGTGAAATCGGATGGAACAGGAAAACAACGCTTGTTCTTTGGACTACATAGTTCGTGTGTGACGTGGGCACAGTCTGTATACAGGCAGTAAGCACGTCAGATGCAAGGCATGCACAGTTCACAGGTTATGCGTATTGTGTTAGGTGCAACTGGCGCCGGTTGATGTCACAGATGCAGACAAACTGACATGACACATGTTCATCAGGTCATCCTCCTCTGGAGACCCGATTAAAGCAATGACAATATATGCATTTTACTATCAAACAACCCTATGTCTAAATATTGAAACATGGTGTTTATACTAATTGGTTGCTTTATCAGAACTTTAGACTCCAGTCACCACATTGTAACTTTATTCCTTCAAAGATGTATGTTGAACCCTTGAACAGACTTTCACCTTCTCATAACCAGGAACCATTGCATGACGTTTAAGTTCGGTCCAGCATGTTTATCAAACACCTTACCTTTTAACATCGGATTATCAGGTGTATAGAATCGACATTCTATTTTGTGATGAATTGAATGGCAAACTATAACACAGTATAATCGAGGATGGCTTTGTAGGCATTGGGACAAGTTAACAGGTAACGTTTATAAATACAGCAACAGTGAGAGCAGCTCACACACTCCTGACCTCAAGGTTTTCTCCTACTCAATGCAGGGAGCAGCTCAAACACTCCTGACCTCAGGGTTTTCTCCTACTCAATGCAGGGAGCAGCTCAAACACTCCTGACCTCAAGGTGTCCTCCTACTCAAAGCAGGGAGCAGCTCAAACACTCCTGACCTCAAGGTTTTCTCCTACTCGATGCAGGGAGCAGCTCACACACTCCTGACCTAAAGGTTTTCTCCTACTCGATGCAGGGAGCAGCTCAAACACTCCTGACCTCAAGGTGTCCTCCTACACAAAGCAGGGAGCAGCTCAAACACTCCTGACCTCAAGGTGTCCTCCTACTCAATGCAGGGAGCAGCTCAAACACTCCTGACCTCAAGGTGTCCTTCTACTCAATGCAGGGAGCAGCTCAAACCCTCCTGACCTCAAGGTGTCCTCCTACTCAAAGCAGGGAGCAGCTCAAACACTCCTGACCTCAAGGTTTTCTCCTACTCGATGCAGGGAGCAGCTCAAACACTCCTGACCTCAAGGTTTTCTCCTACTCGATGCAGGGAGCAGCTCAAACACTCCTGACCTCAAGGAGTGCTCCTACTCAAAGCAGGGAGCAGCTCAAACATTCCTGACCTCAAGGTGTCCTACTCAAAGCAGGGAGCAGCTCAAACACTCCTGACCTCAAGGAGTGCCCCTACTCAAAGCAGGTAGCAGCTCAAACACTCCTGACCTCAAGGTTTTCTCCTACTCGATGCAGGGAGCAGCTGAAACGCTCCTGACCTCAAGGAGTCCTACTCAATGCAGGGAGCAGCTGAAACTCTCCTGACCTCAAGGTGTCCTCCTACTCAATGCAGGGAGAAGCTCAAACACTCCTGACCTTAAGGTTTTCTCCTACTCAATGCTGGGAGCAGCTCAAACACTCCTGACCTTAAGGTTTTCTCCTACTCAATGCAGGGAGCAGCTCAAACACTCCTGACCTCAAGGTGTCCTCCTACTCAATGCAGGGAGCAGCTCAAACACTCCTGACCTTAAGGTTTTCTCCTACTCAATGCAGGGAGCAGCTCAAACACTCCTGACCTCAACGTGTCCTCCTACACAAAGCAGGGAGCAGCTCAAACACTCCTGACCTCGTGTCCTCCTACTCAATGCAGGGAGCAGCTCAAACACTCCTGACCTCAAGGTGTCCTCCTACACAAAGCAGGGAGCAGCTCAAACACTCCTGACCTCAAGGTGTCCTCCTACTCAATGCAGGGAGCAGCTCAAACACTCCTGACCTCAAGGTTTTCTCCTACTCAATGCAGGGAGCAGCTCAAACACTCCTGACCTCAAGGTGTCCTCCTACACAAAGCAGGGAGCAGCTCAAACACTCCTGACCTCAAGGTGTCCTCCTACTCAATGCAGGGAGCAGCTCAAACACTCCTGACCTCAAGGTGTCCTCCTACACAAAGCAGAGAGCAGCTCAAACACTCCTGACCTCAAGGTGTCCTCCTACTCAATGCAGGGAGCAGCTCAAACACTCCTGACCTCAAGGTGTCCTCCTACACAAAGCAGGGAGCAGCTCAAACACTCCTGACCTCAAGGTGTCCTCCTACTCAAAGCAGGTAGCAGCTCAAACACTTCTGACCTCAAGGTGTCCTCCTACTCAATGCAGGGAGCAGCTCAAGCACTCCTGACCTCAAGGTTTTCTCCTACTCAATGCAGGGAGCAGCTCAAACACTCCTGACCTTAAGGTTTTCTCCTACTCAATGCAGGGAGCAGCTCAAACACTCCTGACCTCAAGGTGTCCTCCTACACAAAGCAGGGAGCAGCTCAAACACTCCTGACCTCAAGGTGTCCTCCTACTCAATGCAGGGAGCAGCTGAAACGCTCCTGACCTCAAGGTGTCCTCCTACACAAAGCAGGGAGCAGCTCAAACACTCCAGACCTCAAGGTGTCCTCCTACTCAATGCAGGGAGCAGCTCAAACACTCGTGACCTCAAAGTTTTCTCCTACTCAATGCAGGGAGCAGCTCAAACACTCCTGACCTTAAGGTTTTCTCCTACTCAATGCAGGGAGCAGCTCAAACACTCCTGACCTCAAGGTGTCCTCCTACACAAAGCAGGGAGCAGCTCAAACACTCCTGACCTCAAGGTGTCCTCCTACTCAATGCAGGGAGCAGCTGAAACGCTCCTGACCTCAAGGTTTTCTCCTACTCAATGCAGGGAGCAGCTCAAGCACTCCTGACCTCAAGGTTTTCTCCTACTCAATGCAGGGAGCAGCTCAAGCACTCCTGACCTCAAGGTTTTCTCCTACTCAATGCAGGGAGCAGCTCAAACTCTCCTGACCTCAAGGTTTTGTCCTGCAAGCACAATGCTCACCTTTCTTTTTCAGCAGCACGAAAGACATACTGATGTAACTGATAATAGCCTCATAACTGCTGTGTAAAGTCACAACCAAAATACACAATTGCGGTGAAAATTTATTAAATGCTACATGAATACAAATGTGACAATCATTGCTAACAATTTGTACAGGGTGTAGGTAGAGAAGCATAGCATCCATCCTTGAAGAGATGATATGATATAGTCCATGACATTAATAGCTTTGATAACATACAATCTATTATGATAGGAAAAAGGTAACCTTGTTTAAGACACTAGTGGCAGGTTGCAATATACGATGCATTTATTGGCATTTTCTTATGAAAAGGATATATATTTATCATATATATATAGGTTTGTAAAACAGATCACTATGGTAACCACTTGCTAAGAACCACTCACAAGAAAGAATGACCGATAATGTGTCCAACATTGTTTAGCCTTAGTAATATTAGTCTTGCATTTTCCACAGGGTTGGCAATCATTCTCTTGTAGGGAGGGTATTCAGGTTTTTGATATGATTATAACTTTGTTTGGAAAAGACACTTTTTGATGTTCAGTGCAGTGAAATATGTCTAACACCATGACAAGGAATGAATATTTCACACAAAATATAAGTAAAATTAACGTGTGGCCTCCTGAGAAATAAAATAGTATCTCTATGACAAAATCATTATGAACACATCAGTAATATGAAAGTACATTGTGTAAAATCTGCATGAAAGTCCTTTCTGGCAACGGACTCAAAAACATGGACTCTTAGATTGTAAATTAACTAGAAATACTGATATTATGCAGTAATCTCATACTAATGAGTGGAATGTTAGACACCTTATGATAAATAAGCATTCTCTAATCAGTACCTATAGCCTAAGGTGGTTATTCATCATGTTCATGTTAATGCAAATAGTGAATATTTCATGTGAAATGAAAATTATTTGCACTTTTCTGATGTTGTAGTGAGCAAGAATGAACATAAAGGCTTGTGTAAACAATTGCATAAATTGCCTGCATACCAATAAAAATGCTCTCCTCTAGTTAAAAATGCATGAACTGCTAAACAAGACATTAAAGGCAAAAATATGAACAAAAACTTAACAATAATTCCTACTGCCATGGTAACAAGATTTGACAAAAGTGCCAGAGTATTACATGAATATGAACATACACAACTTTTCTGTAGGTGCACGAGTGGTCTTACCAGAATCAGATCAAGTACTTGTCTTGAATAGAATTCACAGTTTTTGCTCTCTAGATCTAAAGATTTGTTTCACATGATCTTTTTTCATGTTACCATGGCAATGGGTAAACAAACAAGAATCTTGAATACTGCTCCAGTACTTGCTATCTATCTGTACTGATAAATCCGATTACACTGAAAATCACTGTCGGGTCATGTTGACCCAAGTCATACATCTCTGAGCATTAGTTTCTAACAACAAATTTAGCCATAACAAAGTGGGTATTAAATTACAAACAAATGTTTGTGTTGGCTAAAGCAAGATTAAAAAGGAAAACTTGAAATATGGCAGGGATTCATTCCCAATGCATAACGTCTATTCTAATCTTTTTTGAAACTCTGAAACGTGCAACGTAGATCGTGTAAGGTAGGCAGAGCATGTATACTGTTTTGTTGGTCATCTACCACCTATGACTCAACCTTTGTTAAACTGCTGATAATCTATAACGCTCATCAATTATTTGGACCCCGAAGGTGGCGTTGTAACGAGGGATCACTGTAACTGCTTTCAATCTGATTTAAGTTAAGTAGTAGTTAAGGTAGCATATAAAAAAATAGAGTCACAATTTTGTTTACAAAGCAATGCTAAAAGAAAGTCCATGATTATCCTACAGTATTATCATGATATCACATCTACAGCAATAGACATTGCCACTAGCCAATTTGTCTGATACTAGGGAAACGGCATCTCAAAATCAATTTATATTACATAAACCACCAGCCCGAATTGATTAGTGGACTATTTGGATCTATACCACACACATTTTCCATGATCCATGTCGAGAGACACGAAATCAAATGTTTCATAATCCTTAACCTGTAACCACTAAACCTCTCAACACCAGTAACAAATCTCTGATATTATAATTCAATTTTCCCTCTAAAAATCTGCTTTTAATTTTCAAAAAAATGTTCAAAACTAGAGATATCCTCAATGATACCCTTCATTCAATCTATTGCTCAAGCCTTCTTAGGTATGATAGTTACAGGAATAGAAGTGTGGTTTAAGACAAACTGGCTGACACTACCCAAGAAAGCTCTTTGAAATGCCCCAAGACCTCTTGTTCCCATGACAATATGCGTAATATCCTCTTCCTTGCATGTTTTCACAATCACCTCTCCAGGTTTGCCTCCAGTTGGTCTCAAAGTCTTGCCACTTATCTGAAATTATTTAAATGAAAATTGATCATACATTGTATATAGTATATAGTATATAGTACATAAAGAGCAAGAAACAAGCCCCTCACAGACTAGAATTCAGAATGTGTTATCAGCAAAATTAGGACCATTCCACAAAATGAGCGCTATGACTGGGGGGAAAAGGTGGTTTTAAGAACAGCAGAAGACTGGGAAATATGAATGATTACCACAGTCTATGTTAGACTAGATCATCCTAGTCTAGTAGTGAGTGAGTATTGTTGTACATCGCTTTTAGGAATATTCCAGCAATATTACGGCAGGGAACACCAGAAATGGGCTTCCCACATTGTACCCATGTCGGGAATCGAACCCAGGTCTTCGGTGTGACGAGCGAACGCTTTAACCACTAGGCTACCCTATCATCCCTCCTAGTCTAGTAACACTGCAGTATCATACATAATAAGATACATAAAAATATGTTAGGAGACATATCCCATCATGACAGAGGATGAAATGAAATCCAACCAAAACATATTCAGTGGATTTGGCTTGTGAACTATTGTTGTATACACTGGCAGAAAGTACTATTTTACACTTAATTTTCAAACAACTTACATTTCAGCTTGATATGAAAACGCTTAATTTTGTATTGATCTACTGATACAATACCTGTATTGTGACACAGTATTGCAATTCAATGTTCAGTGAATCGAATGTGCTCATGTGAAAAATGTTTGGTGCTCATTCTGATCAGTGTGACCAGCGAGTTATAACTTACTCCCTTCTCTCTCAACACTTGTGTGTAAGTGGCTGTCAAGGAACCAATCTCGTCATCACGTCTTTTCATTTCTTGACACAACTTCTCAACATCCGATGAACCAACTACAACACAGTGAATAACACAACACTTCATTTTTTTAATTACAATTGGAGGAAGGCTGATTTTGATTGTCAAAAGCTGTCCTAGTACCAATACAAACTACAACAGAAAATATTTTCTGGACGATAGTTAAGATTACAAAAATATTACCTATTATTAAAATTTATAATTAATTCAATACATAAATAAAATATGAAGACTTACTCATATTCAAGAGATAATAAATTGGTTTGATGCACAAACAAACATACTGGTATGCTGTGTGAACAATGCTAATGAACGCATCATGTGTGACGTCACAGATCCATGACTCGAGATGCACCATTTGTCTCGTGCAGGATTAGCGTGTAAAGTTTTGAAATCATGTGCAGCATATCGTCAAAAGAATAAAGACAATCTGTGGTTATACTGGACTGATTGTTAGTTTTGTCATTAAGTGGTACACACTGGAAACATCTCTTCTCAACATACATACTTCTCTATGCTTCTTTGTTCAGCGTTTCTTTTGGCAGTGAGTATACATGCATAATACCGAGGTTATGACAACGCAGTTCCTACTGTCTCTGACTTAGGAGTGTTTTAATCATTTTCTTTATTTGTTTATAAGTTGGTGGGAAGATGAAAGACTTGTGACACTAGTCTGTCCATTGTGAACCTACCTGCCGGAATGCTGATGTTATACTCAGCCACATGGATAACCACCACGGTGTCCCCCGGCTTGTACAGGCTATCTATAGCATCTGAAACAGGCAGGTCACACCTCAACAAGGAGCTAGGTGGGCAATACCACGATTCTAGTGTATAATGAGCACTCAAGCATTATGTGCAACCCCTATTTCAGGACACTACTGAGAAAATGTCTTACTGGTACATGATGCTGAGTAATGTAAATTGGCTATAAAAGATGACTAGAAATTACTATTTCAATGATATTTCCTGTAATACAAGACATTTTTAATACACAGAAACCAACATTATTGTGTGCAACTGTCTCTTTACATTTTAAACTGAATCATTTAATTGAATATATGTATACACATTTGTGGTGGGACAATACACGGATGCATTGCAATTTTTAACTTCTTGATACAAGTATCAATCACAGTCGCATACTGAGTAAAAAATATCCTTTCTTAAATAGTAGTGAGACCCAATCACTAAATAGTAGTGAAAATTAGTAGTCAAACGTAAAGATTTTCATCTTGTGTGCCATACTTGATACTACCAGCTGTAAATCGTCAGTAAGCCAGTTATTTGGCCATACTGTCTATGAAAAAGGTGGTGTACGCACCATAAATCAGAGGTGAGGTGAGGTGAAATGGGGTTTAACGTCGCGTCCAAGATTATTGCACTTATATAGCGACGTGCATGTACTTGTTTGTGTGTGTGTGTGGCTGCTTGTACTAGTCCGGACTGATGCCGATTTAGAGTGCTAGCTCACTGAGATACCATGCCGCAGTTTAACATGAATACCCCAATCAGACACAGTATACTGACTCCGAGCCGACCAGTCCTTGCTTTAGCCCCTTAATGCCGAGCGCCAGACAGGGTAACAACAAGTACCATCTTTAAACGTCTTTTGGTATGACGCGGCCGGGGGTCGAACCCCGGACCTTCCGCTCTCCGGGCGGACACTCTACCACTAGACCACAGAGGCGGTCACCATAAATCAGAGCACATGCAAGTAACATGATATGTATCGGATCGTGTGAAAGGTATCGAGATACATATAGGATCGCACAGTCAGAGTATCGTCCCAGCCCTATACACATGGTATAAGACCATTTGACCTTTGTCATCATGGTCATTACCGTTTACGTTTGTTAAATTACTACACAAAATGTGGATTCTGGATAAAAAAAATATTGCTTAGAATAAACTATCATTATCCGCGAATGACTTCTTTCTATGTCATGATTGTATTATGATACATATCATATAATTACTATCATGGTCTATTTCTGGCTTCCAAGCATCACATCAACCAGTCATGATTAGACATTTTGCTTGGATTACTCCAAAATAGGGTTGAACTGAGCCCAAATTCTACATATCCTGACATACCATTCATGACACATCAAGATACACTGTTTGGCAAAAACAGAATTGATATCTTCCAATTTAAACAGAAAGGGAACTCAGCAGGCTTGCTTCCAAATAATTATAGATCTGCAAATGAGGCTGAATATGCATCTTGTTATTATATTGATATAGATTATTTTTTATTTGCACTGTAGGCCATCTGCCCATTGTATTTAGATAGTCAAGTCCATGGACATTAACGAGCTTCTGATATTCATGACATGGAATATATATACTGAGAGGTTTTTCATGGTTTCAACATGGCATCATGACAACAATATGTTAAATTTATGTAATGTAGGATGGACATAATATTTTCACGGAATATATTTGTTTCTAAGAAAGTTATCATATTATATAAGACTCAAAAGGAAATACCACATAAGGACACCCCTTAAAACTTCTACAAGCCCCCAGGATGCCTTTAACATTAAACAAGCTAACTTATCCCTACCATTAATACTACATCTGTGTTCCAATCTGATGTCGCTATCAAGTTGCTCTGGCATGCAAACAACACTGTGATCATAAAATAAATTGCCCAATAATCCTAACATTTTTAGAAACAAATGATATTTAGGCTGTTCTACTTTTACTCAGCTGGCCATGCGGTGTTGACATTGGTGAAGGTGACAGAGGATAACACTGAGTTATGAACATGACATATGAGTCTTTGTGACACATTACAATGATTTATCAAGGAAGAGAATTTATGGCTGTCAACTTCTTGACAACAATTTCAACTGATGAAGGAGTAAGTTTAAACTCCGAAACATTGTGTTCCCCAAAACAAAGAAATCGATATCCATAAATTCTCTTCCTTCTGTGTATCACTTCTAAATGCCTTTCAAAGACTTAATGATTAATCATATGCATGTATTCTGACACAGCGAGGACATTTCTTCACCAACACTCACCCAGATTATCAAGAAGCAAAGAATGTTAAGTGGGAGTTATTATAGCCGTGTCAGAAACAGCTCAGCCCTTCAGCTTTTACTGCATGGTAACACTAAACAGCGGTAGCATTTCTGTTAGAAAGCTGCTTTCAGCATGTTCAGAATGTTTTTTTCTTTAATTTATTTTGGTTTATTGCCTTCTTTTAAGATAACCCATTTCTTGTTTTATGTATAATTAGTTGGTCTAGATTTATTATCCAACCCTAAGTTTAAAGTACTGAATTTTAAAAATATTTTTTTGTAGCTGGCTGCATCTTGGCATACTGGTTCCGAAAATATGAAAAGAAAGAATGTTGCTCAAAAGTATTACTGCCTAGTCCTACCTACTTAATTAATGAGCATCTCCCAACGGTGAGCAGAGTAAGATACTCCAACTTGTTAGGTGATACAGATGAACCAGATTATGATTGTGTTTGTAAGTTGTGTTTGATTTGTGCCCAGTTGCTTGTGTTCTATAAACGAATCTTTGGAGAAGTTTTTTCATTGATATAGAACATGGTACTCAGTGTATGTAATAAGATTGTTTGACCTTTAAAAGAATATATTTTGCATTCCTATCAAGTGACTTAAATGCTAGAAAGAATAAGATTACATTAAAAAGATTAACTTATCCATAACATGGACAGAACGGAACAGAAGTTGATTCAAAACAAAAACTTTGGCAACAAGCCACTCGTCTTACAATTTACAGATACATGGCAGAGGGAGTATTATCTTCACTTGGGTTTTGCCAGTAATATTCAGTAATATATTTAACTATATAATTGTTAAACTTTGGACATATCAATAAGAAATTATACTCATCCTTGATAACATCAATGTTGGATTGTTTCCAAAATTCGCACCATCTACAATCTCAATATCATGTAAACACTTTAACACCCCAAACTATACACCTTTTAACACATTGTTGAAGTGAACAAAATACATTATTGACAACATGTCTTTGGCGTAAAATTACTCCACTTCATATTTGAATACAAAAACATTCATGGCCTTTAGAACTTTACCCGCTAACACATTATGGCCTTCAGAAAAGTAACAAATTCACCTACCACTTCTAGCTCTTTACCATTTACAAACCACTTTTCCCTATTATGTAAGAAACCTCTTTTACAAAAAAAACCATCCTTTGCGTATAATCCCACATGTAGTACATGTATGCTCGTGTGAAACAGTCTCCCACATCAGCACCCAACCTCTTCAGATTTGTGGAACTGGTATAAGGGATTGTGAAGTCAGAAGGTGCTAAGCTGACCCAGTTAGACTTTAGTGCTGCTCCCCCAAATTAGAACAGTGTACAGAGAGTGAGTGAGTGAGTGAGTTGGGTTTAACGCCGCTGTTAACAGTATTCCAGTTATATCACGGCGTGTCAGCTTAATGTGGGAGGAAAGCCCGAAGTGATGCAGGTCTCAGACGTTTACCACTTCGGTGAAACCCACGAGCACGGGTACGGTGCTAACAAACCTAGAAACATAATTGGGGCGAACCGGGATTCGAACCCACAATCATAGGTTTCTGGCGTGCCCAAGGGACGCAACTCTGCATAGCGAATCGCGGCGCCTTAGACGACTGGGCCACTCGTGCCCCCGTGTACAGAGAGTCGGAGGGAGTCTGCTGCATCTGACGGAGCAGACGGGCAGAAGACTTCTTGAATTTTTGGACAATGGACATTTGCGAAAGCTAGGTTGAGCAATAATATTTAGTTCCCTGTCATTTGTGAAGGGATGTTCACTTTACACAAAGGTAAACAGGTAACAATTACCAGTGCACTCAACCTTACCCAATCCCAGTTTAAACAATTTGGAGGTGACCCTGACATCTACCTGCCTAATGTACAAGTACAGGGGCATAGCCTAGGTCACCTTACAGCCATGTTCACACACTACCTGGCTGGTCTGTTACGATTGGACCTTTACAATACGTTAACTAGCTACGAATTCCATAGTCTAGAATGCTAGAGCACGTAACTGTGATTTTATTTATTAGAGTATGCTAGCATTACCCGTGTACTTGTAGATCTAGTGTAACCATAGAGTTCGAGATAATTGTAATCATTATATCTTGTGACTAACCACGGGTCCGGGTAGTCTGGTGGGCACCCGGGTCCTACTCAGTAACCAACCGACCCGAGTACCCTAGTTACCCGCCCCAGCCTTTGTGCATTAGGCCACAGGACCATGTAACTAACAAACGAGCTAACAGGTTATATCAGTTTATAAGTAGACCTAGTCCCCATAGCAAAGGCAAAGATCCGCGAGCACAAGATAGGGACAAATACTGACGCGGCCAATATCCGCACAGCGACGGCAGTGAGTACTAACCCAGTAGGCCTTGTGGGTCGTATAGAATCACAAGCAATGATCAAACATCACCTTGTTGACAATATCTTGACTAAACATGACTACTCCGAAGCATGCATTCCATTTAACAATGTTCATTTATATTGATAAGGTAGCCTAGTTTCAAAGTACCATTTTCGACACCAAAACAACTGGTTGTGTATGTGTGGAAGATCGGTGATCCTTCGATTTGACCCGGGAGCCTAAGAAACACCTTTTCCAGCAATCGTGAGAAATATACTTACAATTAAAAGCAGCCTGGGCGATATCGCTGCCATCAACGGCGACACCTAAAACTTTAGCCATTTTCAGAAGTGGGAAAAGTGTAAAATAACTCCAGAAATTAACACAAGCCTCGTCTATCGTCTGACGCTATGTACAATGGCGAACCCAGTAAATTGACCTTTCTATGTAAAACAGGTGGGTCAAGGTCATAGTGACTTTGGTTGGAGATTTTCTTTCTGTAATTTCGCTTTATCACTGCAAATTGAATATTCTCAAATCTAAAATGTCCATCAGTAGGGCAGATTTAGATGTCCCTTCTTCGGGCAGGAAATGATACTATACAAGGAGAATATTGTAATTTCTTTTTAGAAAATTATAATTATACTACTTTAACAATATGCGCTAAATCGCTAAGGTAAGGAACAACGTAATTTTGGTTAAAAAGAACTCGTATATCTTTGGCTATTTGAATATTTTTTTCTCATACGTATCCTGGGGAGTGGTCATGGATAAATTAGCAAGTGGTTTTACTGTTAAAAATCCAATGTATATGGGTTTCACAACAGTAGTGTGATAAATTGTCACGAGCACAATCTATAGGCACTAGCCAGTTTATCGCACAACACACCCTTTTGATTTTTTGCTACTAACCGAATGTTTTCGTATTTTGATAAAGAAATATTGCGTCTGTGTATCTGGGATAGTATAACCATAAACGTATTTTTGGACAGATTTAAGGTGGTGCCATATGGTGTTCGACACCCCCTTTTGGACAATCACAGTCTGACCCCAATAACTAACATAAACATAACAAAATATTATTACCTTTTCAATATTGAAATAAACAAGTACCTTGTTTCCATCAGTATATATATACAAAATCAACACATGTCAGATTCAAAATATTGAGATGTGAGATGTGTTCCCGTGCATTGTTTCCATTGTATTTGATAGACAAGGCTGGGAACCCATGATAGCATATCATGTTACTGTGTCTAAAACTGAGTGTTCCCTCATTCATTTTCATCAGTATATATATACAGTGAATCAGACAGATAATGTGTAACCGATTGTGTCGCCAGATGGTTGTACACGTTAAACATACAAAACCTGTATGCAGCACATGCCACGACACGATTTCTGCCATGTACTTACATGCCAACAATAACATTGATCCGTATATTCAATATCACCGTGGTTACCAAAAAATATACGTATATGTCACGTGACAATACATTTACAAATAATTATTCTTTCCTGTCACAATGGCAGCTGACACGCTATTATATATCACTGAAACATTCTGATCAAATGAGTGTGTGAATGTTGTTTTACGCCATGCAGTGTGTATTCTACGCAGCTATATATTACGACTGCGTTTTTTCGTTAATAGCGGAGGTCATGCAGTTCAAACCAGCGCGGATGATAGCAACAACAAGGCGTTATATATACACGGGTACACAATAATCCATGTATAGGTCTCATGTCGAAACATCTCCAAGTCTATAGTAATAGATGAGGCTCGTAGTTAAACGATCAAAAGATTACAAGTCTTCTCACGTATATCTATTGATATATTGTACACACACACACACATGCACGCACGCGCGCGCATGCGCACACACACCTTGTCACGATGAGAGGGAAGACATGACATGGTCGCATTAAACGCAATGAGTTGGTTTAAGCGTACATATAGATCTGCCAGCCTATTTCGTCCCTTCAATTTACGTGGGACGTTCTAGCTTGATTTGTGAATGCAGGCATGTTTGCTTGAAGTCGTTTTTTGAAAATGTGATTTACATACTAGGTGAAAGTTTTACTATTAAGATACTCCCAATTACCATATGACCTTGTACTAGCAAAAACATTATAAAATAAAATGACATGACGGTAATGCCACAGTTTGTCTCAGGAGGCACATGTGATCCAGTCGTCTGAGGCACCCCATTTCGCTGTGCAGAGTTACGTCCCTTAGGCGTTCCCGAAAACTATGATCTTGGGGTCGACCCGTGGTCGTGGGGAAACGTCCTGCATCAATCATGCTATCACTGACATGCTGTTGAAAGCGGCGCTAAATCAAACACACTCGTGACTTGTGTACAGGAACTGAACAGCCATTACTCTACATCACTGAATGTCTGGTGGGGGTAGTAATAACCGGACAGTGTAGCTACGTTTTAGCAGATATAAACACGCATGTATAAAACCACAGGAATTCGTAGCTGTATAAAAACAACTTTCCCAAACTTCACTTATTCTACGAAACATATAAAACAAATAAATATTGAAGAGAAGTTATGGATGTCAACTTCTTTATATGAAGAACACAACGTTTCGGAGTATATGCTTATTCCTTCATCTGGTGAATAAATGCTATGAGGCAGCGAACATATATATGTACCTGTAAGAACAACAATCAGTCAACAGTTATTTGGCACTGATAGGTGATCAGCAATGGACAAATGGAAGCCAACACTTAACAGTAAATTAGCGCTGCATGATGGTTGCTAGCGATGGTCAGCTGGAAGCCAGGACTTAAATTATCACTGATTGGACACTGGGCAAACGGGAGGCTGGAGGTAATTAGCACTGATGGGTAATAGAACGGAAGTAGCAATGGACAGATTAGCACCCACAATGATCAAAGCAATAAAACCCTTACACGGGGCAGATAGGTTCCTGTGTGTCGTACAAAACAACCTTAGCGCTACGACTGTCGTAAATCTATGTTTAGGTATGGGACTTACGATCACCTTAGCGCTAAGATCGCTTTGTACAACGACACACAGGTCACGATTCAAGGCTGATAGGACTTTTGTCTCCTGAATTCAATGGTTTCTTGTAGTTTTCTTTGTCGCCATGCAGCTTTTAATGGTAGACATGACTTTTGTGGCTTCCAACATGATGTTATGGTCTTGGTTCTTGAGGAAGTGTTTGGAAATAGTGGATTTCAGGTCTCGTTTGTTAACAGTGGTCTGGTGTTCTTTGAATCTGGTGTTGATGTGTCTAAGGGTTTCTCCCATGTATTTGTGTATCAACGTATTCAGGCAGGACATTCATAATAAATATGGGTTTTGAAAATATATATTTGTGTAAAACTACTAGTTCCTATTTGGTAACAGAAGAGGTTCTTGTTGTTTAACGCCGCACTCAGCAATATTCCAGCTATATGACGCCAGTCTGTAAATAATCGAGTCTGGACCAGACAACCCATTGATTGATATCATGAACTTCGATCTACGCAATTGGGATACGATGACATGCATCAACCAATTCAGCGGACCTGACCACCCAATCCCGTTACTACAAGCATAGTCTTGGTGGCTGAAGACCTATTGTAACCCGGGTCTTCATGGGACTGAAGTATAAGGGCACTCTTGAAATTTTAGAGCCCACTGGAAATATTTGAATACAAAACTAATAAAATGAGATGGGGTCGACATTGTTAGGCGTTGTGTATTCAGAGTTGTACATAGTTAAAACGATAAAATAATGAAATCCATGATTGGTATTCAATGTAGTCAGCTAATGCAAGTATCTCTAATTAATTGAATGAGTTTATATTTTTCAAAACGGCAAGTTAGTTACAAAGCCTTGCATGTAAGTTTATTTCACTGGCATATCGTCTCCTTGAACAGTAAACTTTCATACGTATATCGTAGAGATACATAGTGTACACGTGAGTGATAAGTATTATAGAAATGAATTACGTTATTTATGTTAAAACAACAATGTTGTATAAATGCCATTGTATAGTGTAACGTAGTAGGGAACGCAGAGTCTAGAACTTGCAGTGGATGTGTAGAATAGACATAATATATTAATGTATGTGTGTAGCAGGCTGGAGTCCCGGGGTGACCGGCCGGTGACCTGATGGGGTCAGCGGTCGCGGATATCTAGCTGCGCCTGGGTTGAGTTGGGCAGTGAGAGTATAGACCACAGAATAAAGTGCTGAAATACATTCCCCGTGTGGTCGTATTCTTCAACCATACAATAAGTGGTGGAAGTGCTGAGTAACGATACATATACAAGACGCCCCATTGATTTGGATACCTAGATGAACCCCAAAGTCACACCATTAATACGTACTTGAAATATTTCCTTGTATTGAAGTAGTGAAATGTCTTTTATTCCTCACATTGACTATTTATTTAGTTGGGCTCATGTACTGAGGTGTGTGCACGCGCTTCCATAGTTGATTGTTGAAATATATCCAATTGTATATGTGCAGTGAAAGCCTTGAAAGGGTCATCGATTGACCAGTTCGATCTTTGCATGGGTGTCGTGGGACAGACCAGGTCACGCCCAGGCCGCTTCTGTAATTGAATTAAGACAATGTAGTTGAACCCCGTGGATGGAATATAAATTAATTACATCGGTTGAAATAAATGTGAGCGAATGAGTGATTAAGGGGTTAACACCACTTCAAACAATATTCCTACTTGGCATTACACGACCGGTAGAGTTAATACAGTGATTGTAGAAACAAGCGTGTGTACTCATAATTGTGTACATTGATAAATATCTATGATATACGATGGCTGCCTACGTGTTCTTTCTGATCGACAGCGTGACGCATGGAAACAGCGGAAGCAGTTGGAAGAGTGGTCAAATAACTATTTCCATGAAACAATTACATGTCATCAGACAATTGATTTCACCTTATGTATTTCAATACGAGAATGCCACTTTATTCACTGGAAGAACTGTGTTTCGTCCGACAAGTAAGACAGTTCATTTTTTAAAAATGACTATATTTTATATGGAAATACATACAATACGTTCTTAACTACGTCCCGTGTGTATATATTGGCCAGTAAAACCTACAGTAAAACAATAGGGAGGTGCGCAAAACAAAAACATATTTTCCGAAGAGAGGGTGTTTGATAGTAAAGAATACATAAATGGCAATATCTCAATCGGAAATTCGTATTCCTGTGAGCAAAATGCACTCAAAGACAAGCACTCATAACATCAGAAAGTGGTTGCCGAATTGCATTAATATGTCTTTCATGTCCAATCGCTTCTCGTTATGTCGGAGATTATATTTGCATATTGTCGCTCCACTTGTGGAAATGCATGAACACACACATGAACTTCAACCGTGAATATAAGGATTGGGCATGTTAATGTAGTGAGTCGTGAGGAGGTGGAAGTCCTACAGCTGTCTATATACGTTATTCTAAAGATGATTCTAAAATATACATGCTTTTCGTCGTTTTCACAACCCTTCATACCTTTTTCATGACATCACCGTAAAAGAAAAGTAGATCGTCACTCTTTCAGAGTGGAGTGAGTGAGTGAGTTGGGTTTAACGCCGCTTTTAACAGTATTCCAGTTATATCATGGCGTGTCAGCTTAATGTGGGAGGAAAGCCCGAAGTGATGCAGGTCTCAGACGTTTACCACTTCGGTGAAACCCACGAGCACGGGTATGATGCTGACAAACCTAGAAACATAATTGGGGCGAACCGGGATTCGAACCCACAGTCATAGGTTTCTGGCGTGCCCAAGTGACGCAACTTTGCACTTAGACGACTGGGCCACCCGTGCCCCCTTGTCTTATGACATATTCTTTAGACTATTTGATGTAAAGATTAAGCCTCTTTTATTATACGGTGCAGAGCAGATATTTGGGGGCACCATTACATTTGATCCACTTGAGAAAATTCAGAATTATGCATGTAAAAGATTTCTTGGTTTACCGTCACAAACTCCAAATGCTATGGCTGTGGGAGATTGTGGTAGATATCCGTTATATGTTGATTCATTTGTGCAATGTATAAAATATTGTCTCAGATTAATACACATGTCAGATGATAGAATACCAAAAAAGTCGTGTAATATGTTAAAACACTTAGATGAATGTGATAGGAGAAATTGGGTAACAAATGTTAGAGAATCTTTATGTTTGATAGGTCTTGGAGAAGTCTGGTTCTCTCAAGGTGTTGGTAATTTTCATTATTTAATAAGTATGATTAAACTTAGATTAAGAGATATTTTTTTTCAAGAGTGGCAAGCAAAATTAAGAGAATGTACAAGATTCGATAGTTACAGTAAATACAAATTTTCATTAAATGCTGAACCATATGTGTATTGCCAAACATATTTAATGCATAGAAGATACTTAGCTCTTAAATGTTGGAAGATGGAAATATGTTGAAAAAAAGTAAAAGAATCTGTCAGAATTGTAATTTAAATGAGTTAGAGGATGAATTCCACATAATAATGTAAGGACCATGTTTAAATGATTTGAGAAATCTTTTTGTACCAAAGAAATATTTAAGGAAATGTACATCCAAATGTTTTGTTAATTTAATGAATGATTATGATCCAGCTATAGTAGAAAACTTGCTAAAATTCTTTAAAGCTTCACATGTGAGGAGAGCATGTTATCATTAATTACTGTACACTCTGTTATCATTGAATATATAAGTATGATAAACCGCCATCACCTTGATGTATAATTTGTATTTTAGTATACTTTGTATACTTTGTATATGGGCCTGAGGCCTCAAGTACAAATAAAAGATTGATTGATAGTAGATCATAAAATGGGCGATCTGAAGTTGAATTAATGAAAAAATATATAAAATACAAAATATATAAAGGAATGTGTTACGTCCACCATAACGTTTTAAGAATACCAAATACTATATTTTTGCGTCCCGCGTACCGCACTGATTAGTCCCGAATACCCCCGAATCCCGCGTTCCAAAAGGTGGTTAGCAGCCTCACTGTCTTCCTCTCTTTATTGCGGTAAACTTTCTGACAAATGGCATTAAAGGGTCTGAATAAAACTAAAACTGATAAAATATTGCGAATTTTAAAAACAATAGACCAAAAGTGACATGTTATGCATGCACTTTCTATTTAATTACCCACAAGGCCATATTTCAGTTACCCATATGTTCTAAGACGATTTATAAACTATTACAAATAGAAAAATAAGTTATTCGGAATGCAGTGTCCGTTTACTAGTTCTACTTTTATACGTTTCACAATTGTTGTAAACTCATATGCTGTTACCTCCCCTACTGAGTTCATTTACACCGTTGGAACCCCATTGAATAACCGCGGTAGACTATTCAGGGTCTCCCTTTTATTCTTGTGACAAATTTTCAAACACATGTTATGAATTCAGGGTTTCGTTAAAAATAAAACTGAACAACTAACAACATAATGGTAATGTGGAAAACATATATATACCAAAACTGAATTGTCACAGGCAACTGTAGACAAAATATGAAATGCATGAATTTCCTATCCAATTACCCACAAACCCCTATGTGCCCACAGACTTTTCAAGGACCATTCCAAATAGACCGTGGAATAAAAAAAAAATCCAAAGGAAAATTAGACCAAGAAAACTTGGCCAAAGAAACAAGAAAGGGATGTGCCTTTTTTCAGTCGGCGGAGAAAGTGCTGATATTCTAAATGTGCTACTATTTACGAGTTTAATTAACCAATAAAGAATTCCGATCAAATTGAAAGTGTTTTTGACGTCAAAACACAATGATGACACAAGTGGACATAAGCAGGGTGTTTCATCAATCAAAATGGTATTTGTAATATCAGCTTTGATAGTTGAAAATTTTACTGAATGGTGCAGTAAAAATTATTTCGTTTTATTGTCCAAAAAACAACAACTGAGGATTTTAATTAGAGACCATATAAAAGAGAAATCAGTTTAAGACCACATCGTGATAGATGATGTCTTGGTGCCATCGCTGATTTAAACTAGTATGGAATGTTCATGTAGAACTTTAAGAAAGAGTTTCAAAAATTCTATTCTACAACTAGTACTTGTTTTATAGGACGTTCTGATAACCATAAACTTCAACTTCAACTGCTGGTACGGAATCTATCTGTTCAAAAGCAAAAATATAGTAACTTTTCGACACGAGTGCGTGTGTCACTGTGACAAACAACAAACAGGCACCACCAGAACTCAAACCGGTTATTACTAATCTTCTAAACAAAATCCCAACACAAGTTCAGCACCAGCGACGGCATTTATCTGATATCATGTATCTGTAACGTTCGTATTCCTAATGTTTCGATCTGTACATTTGATAATCCTGAGGCGGAAAAGGAAATGTCCCTCTGGATAACAGCGTTCTGATAACTCTTATCTAATTGTTGTACTAAACACACTAAGGTGCGTAAGAGAGAGTAGAAAGGAGGATATGAAGATATATTAACCCAATTAAAACAAATGTCTGTAGGGGTTTACTAGATTTGTCTGATTTAATAAAGATGCTTACAGTTTTCAGACTGAAACACTAGCTTTCATTTATTTAGAAATTTATTTCATTTATTTAGGTTATTAATAGTCAGTGCCACTCGCACAAATGTCAAATTTGTCACGTATACATGGCGTCTATTTATGAAAAATATATATCAAAGATATCTTTTAAGACGCCTAGAAGTCCAGCATTTCTATTTGACATTTTGCTATAATAATGAGGGGGAGATATAATTATCCCCCGCCCCAACGAAGTTGGCGGGGGATATAGAAATGGGTTCCGTCCGTGTGTGCGGGTGTGCGTGTGCGTGTGCGTGTGCGTGTGTGCGTCCCGAAATCTTTCATGTAAAAGATGCGACGAGTCACAATATTTTTCTCACTTCCCCACTTTCTATCTCTTCTAATCTGACAGGAGTGGTTCTGTATCAAATATTTCTTTCATTATTTCTTCAATTTTTTTTCTTCAGTGCCTCTTTGAGGCGTCGGTTGAACCGGCGTTTATTCTTTGATTCACAGTAGTTTTAACACAAAGCAGGGGTCTCTGCGTACCAGCCAAGATAAAACAAACGAGAGTGATCTCCCCTAGTAATATCACCTGTGGACGTCAGCCAGGGACCAACGACTAAACAATCTTTATTTGTTGTCTGTTTTTTTCTGCTTTTGAATGAAAGACAAATATTTTTCCCGTGATGATAATCGCCGATTCAATGATTTACTTTCTTATAAGTGCTGAATCGTTTTTTGCTGTGGCAAAAAATAATTGTGAACTTTGTTTAAAAGCCAGATGTTTAGAAGAATATTCCTCCTCTACACACTACATTGCCAAACTCTAGTTATATTTCAACGAAAAGACGGATAAGGGGAAATTACGTTGTGAGTAAGGAAGATTCCATCAAGGGTTATAACAGATATCTCTTTATTGTGATCAATCGTGTCATCCCGGTTAAAGGGAGGTTACGGAAAAGAGCGAGAGGCGCCGATTCGTTGATGGATCCCCATGGAGACCGTTGCTACTTCCGTTATTCACAAACGACGCCATTTTGGTTGTTGCTCCTGCACTTTGTTTCCACGTCTGTGTTTGCATTTTGCTCTTTATCCCGCACTTATCGCACGTTCTTCACGATGTATGCCACTGTTGCTTTGGTTTATCATCAAGGTATCTAGCAGTGCTCTCAGTTTTACATTATATTTGCTTTTCATCTTGATTTCAAAGCTTTCAGATCGATACCTTTTGACGGATTGTAATTCCCAACTTGAATCCGCCCTAAACATTTGGTAACAAAGTGAAAGAGAATGACGCACAGACTCATTAGCAGATGGGACATTTCATGTACTTCATCGGCCCCTCGTATATTGATGTACTTTAGGGATTTCTTTTGTTTTACAACTGATCAGATATTTGTATTTTCCGAAGTGAATCTGTAGGGTTGTGAATGCATATTTCCCACTTATATTTTTATACATAGTCTGACGCTTTCGACCTCCCACCCTACACCAGATTTTGGTGAATGGGACCCCCAATTACGTAGAGAGGCTGTGAGAATATTTCGTTACTATATACGATATCCTGTCTGAATCAAAACAGTGTGCCTGCTGAACGCTGGGAGGTCAAAAGCATGAGACTGTATATTTGTACTAGTATTTGTTTTTATTCCTCTATGGGAAAGAACAAACACACACACACACACACACACACACACACACACACACACACACACACACACGTGTGACATGAAAGACATAAAAGTACAGTAAATGGACATTTTTGGACATGAAAGAATACAGTAAATGGACATTTTTGGACATGAAAGACACAGTAAATGGACATTTTGGGACATGAAATACATATAGGGTAAACGGAAATTTTGGGACCTGAACGACATAATACAGTAAATAGACATTTATGGACATGTCATATCCAGTATGTGTCTTTCAAGTCCCCAAACGTCTAAAGACGTGATAAATGATCAAATTGACAGTAAATGCAGAGCCATGTTTCTAGGCACTTTGCCTCCCATGAGCTCACCTGGGTATAGGATCTACTCAATATGACAGGAGTTTCTGAGAATTGTACCATCCTTAATAAAGTATTCATAGGAGTTGTCTAGGTTTTCATACACCATCTTCTAACTAAGTGTAGTGTCAAGGGGTGGAAACATAGTCTTTGTACCTTTGGACATGAAAGACATATACAGTAAATGGATATTTTGTGACATGAAAGACGTATACTGTAAATGGGCACTTTGGGACATGAAAGGTATATAAGGTAAATAGACATTTGGGGATATGAAAGACAAATATACAGTAAATAGACATTTTGGGACATGCAATATGCAGGATAGGTCTTTTAAGTCCCCAAACGTCTAAAGACCATTTTACCACAAAATTCCTGGCATATAAGCTTGGAATGTTGTGATAACTTGATTAGGCTTCTCAAAAACACAAAGTTACTGGACTAGTTTATAGTCAAAACAATAAGGATCGATATGGTTTTGTATTTTATTTTTATTTATACCATTATAGCTCAGGACGACCTCTACAGGTTTCGGAACTACCAGGCCCCCGTCTCCCAAAAGACTCTTCCTGTCCCTGATCCTGTAGGTCATCGTTAGGTTCAAGTTGTTTGAATTTGGCCTTTTAGTAAGAAAAAAACAACAACCCGAGAAACAGTGCAACTGGCAATATTTGAAACTAGTCATCTGTGTTAAAACAATATTAAGACAAATATCACATGATATTTAATTAAGCTTCTTATAATTAGTACTCATTGGTAACTCACAACACAAGGAAGGTGACTTGCATTATTCTGTCACTCATTACATAATCAAAGTTGTTATTCCTGTTCTGAATATATGACCTTTTCAAGAACAAGTGGTATTGCCACTTTTTGAGTGAGAATTAGAAACAAATGGTACAAAATGGTCGACTTTCTCACGTTATTTATACACGATTATACTATCGATTAATACTGATTGCAATGATTTAGAAACTCGATTTCCTTTCTGTAAGCGCTCCAGTGTCTTCACGATCACCGTCAACCCCCTCTCGTCCCAGCCCGACACCCAGACCTCCCTCCCCGTCCCTGCCCCCAGAGCCCGCCCTCAAGTTGTAGAGATAGATCTTGGTGAAGAATCCAAGCAGCCCCAGTCGTGCTCGGCCGTCCTTGTGTCCTGTGTGAAATACATGTTCCAGAGTTTCTTCACGGAGAGATAGACTTTGGACTTGTTTGCTGTGCCAGTGTTGTGGGAACTACTAGTTTTAGGACCTTTCGGGCGAACCATTTGGACTATTTTAGATTATTTTTGATAACATACATTTTGTTTCATACATGCATTAAAATTTACTTAATAATCAGCTTAAAGTATACGTGATAAACGTTTCTGATTGAAGAACGTGTCTTGTATATTATATATTTTCTGCATTCCTTGTTGTGAAGATTGATGACACACGAAATCGAGAGATGTCTTAGCAGGTTATCCATGCCAAACAGTCGCTTCAACCAAGCTATCGTTATTTTACGAGTTGGTCAAAATGGAGATTTTGAATGCTTGATTTCCCCATATTTTATAAGGATTCATTCACTGTGTCAGCGCAGAAAAATCAAAACAAACAAAACTTCGAGGGAGGTCGAGCTCCCGCCCAAAGACTCCACGCCAAGCAGTCGCTGCAGCCAAGCAGTCGTTATTTAAGAGATAATTATAATGAGGATCGGATGTTACACTGTCGGAACTCCTAATTAAAATAACTCATGCTTTCCCATGCTGCAATTATCTCTTACATACCTCATGTATAAAGGAAGCTCCAGGTAGAAATGAGACCGTTGAACTCCCATGCATCATGTCGTTCGGTAAGCAATACTTATGCTGTTAGAATCTGAACAGCTATTATTGGTGGAAGACATCAGTTAAAAAATTCGATGCAGGATAAAAGCTTAATTAATTTAGTTTTGTAAACTCACCCCACCCCATAACTTACTTACTGGTGAAGATATATCAAAATATGACGATTAGATAAACTATTTATTGTAAATTCGTGTTAAATTTTGATTAATGTTTGATCGAAAACATACTTTTCTTTATCACCATTGAGTTTTCATCACGCGGTTACAATCTGGCAAACCTTGCGTCTTTCTTTTCGACTTGCTCAAGTCGTATCTTGACTCCGTGAAGTAGTTGCTGCAGGGATGACCGCCGTTTCCGCACCTGAAAGTAGAAAGATTAACGAGAGCAGACCAAGTACATTAAATTTCATTGTTTTAGCAGTTCAGATACATCAATCGTGGGAGGGATACGGACAAGTACCGGATTCTAGAGCCACGACGTGACAGACAATGCCGAGCGAGGGATGTTTCCAGTACAGTTGACAGCTAGTACCGTGTCCCGCGATCTCGAGACTTTGTACAAATTTTTCAGTTCAGTGATTAATTAATAAACTCGTTATTGAACTTAAACCTCCTTGTTGTGTGATCCTTCTGAATTTCGCCAGTTTCGACGTTCGCTACTTGTAGATCTTTGTGATATATTTTCGCGAAACCTCGTCTCCAAGCTCTGGTATTTATTTTGTCACACTTTTTGACTGGTGGCAACATCCATTTTCGTAGTTTACCCACTAGAAAATATGGACCAGTCTAAAAGCTAAACACGCGATATTCCGAACGACGGTCTATCGTCCAGCTGTTGATTCAATGCACGGAGACAATACAAAGAGGTCTCTATATAGACTGTCTGCTTCAATGAGGAACATTTGAGGGGAACAGCCTTTGCACTGCCCGTGGGAAGTACTACCATACAAATCTATTAGACATTCAAATATGTTCAGTTTTTTTAAGTTTGAATCGAGAACTTTGTCAAAATATATTTGAAAGAGTTGTCACTAGTTATGCCGTAAAGCTCGAAAAAGCTGCTTTCTGAATGGCTAATGTCGACTACTTGTTAGTCATTTCATTGGTCGGTCAAAGTTCGCGAAAGGTCGTTCTATGTCCAGTATCACAGATACCCATGTAAATATACCTACAAGTAGCAATGTGGGTTTCAGGCTATCATAGATGTTGCGAACTTGAAAAAGTACATAAGCTTTCATTTGGATTGTCATTCCGAGTTGTAGGATATCAACTTATTATGAAATACTAAGCTTGATAATGGTGTTAGAACCTACACCGAAACGTCGCTCCTAATCGTAATAAGGAAGTTGTTCATCCATATTATATCTTGTCCTTACTTGGTACTCATACTTCTAAATGCCTCTCAAAGAAACTTATTATGACATAAAGTTGGCTTGCACAATCGTTTATAAACAGTGAAAGTAGTCCCTACTTGCATCTCTATCCGCATATGACCCGAGCGGACATAGTTTCCTGCCGAGAAACCCACCCATTATATGATAAATCCTATTATATTCATCAAGTCTTGTCCAAAACAAAATGAACCACTTACTCAACGTGAAAAAATGTGTACTGTACGAAGGGTCCATGGCTAAATGCCACAGGTTCTGGAAATCAGTCATTATTGTATCACAAATTAATATTATTTCTTGCATGATTGCACGTAAAATTGGTTAGCAGAGATTTTGTAATGTAATCGCACAAGGCCTTAGGCACCGATCTTCTTTATCGAAGAAAAGAAACTGACTCAGAAAATGCGTGAAAGTGTATGAATCAGACTTGTAAAAAAAGAAATTGTCTGCCACAAAAAACTCGATTTTTTACAGACCGCCGTCATATAGCTGGAATATTGCTGAGTGCGGCGTTACACAAACAAAGTCGGGGATTAACCACGTGATCAAAACTCAATGGTGATGTTTATCGCCAACAAAATGGATATTTCTTGAAAAGCGCATTTTGCAATTTTTGTAATATAAGTAATATTCCTTATCGCTGGAATGGCTTCTTATAAATCTTTTCACTTTATAAGCATTATTACACTCCATTCAGCCAACTCTCCAGCCTTGCGAAAATAGGCTGGCATTTCTGGGCTCGATCGTAGAGCCACCAGTGGCTATTACGACTTATGTCCCTTCGATTGACCAGTGAGAGTCCACATCTCATATCACTTGAATTTGCTTCGAACAAAATAGCGGCGCCCAGTCAAGACGATTGTTGTGAACATAACCCCACTTCTTGGAAAAACATTACTGAATTAGGTTTGTGGTAATATTATCTATATTATATTTTTATATTATTTATATGTCATATCGTTTTAAATAAACTGAAGCCTTATAATATGGAAATCACTTTTATGTGTATACAGTATGTACGTATTTCTTCTATGTAAAAGATACGACGTGCGACTTCTTAATATTTCTTTTACTCTATATCTCTCCTAATAAATATGACATGCGTTGTTTTGTATCAAATATTTCTTTCAATATTGCGTCAATGTTGAGTCACTTCATGGGCGTATATTCTTTAAACAAGGCAACTCGTCAAACTTAGTATAACACAAGTAATGTGATGAAAATGTATTTTGCCATTCAGATTTTGTTCTACGTTTCCAAGGCAACAATTTAAGTCGATTTCATTCGGAAATGAAGTTTGGATTCTTTTCCGGAGCAGTAGTCATAATCTGTTTAATATTTATATAAAACTTCACATACACATTAGGCAAGTGCTTAACAGTGTAGATACATGATCTACCAGGACAAGGAATACGTGCATTATATGGCATAATATGAAACATACACACATAAAGTACAGGATGTTCCGTAACTGCGACGTGGTTTATGCAATCGATAATTTGGGAAGAAATGTTATGGGAATCAACCTACTTAGATTGCAAACCGACCTTATATATCTTGAGTATTTTTATTTTATTTTTTCACAATAAACTTCCATCGTTTTTTTGTTTTGTTTTTGTATTATTCATAATGGAATATTCATTCATGGACTAAATGATTTTCAAACAGCATGACATCCAGTTATACACCATCGGCAAAGTTCTCACTCCATTAGTCGCTATATATATTCCAAACGTTGTACTCGTCAAGCTCCTCACAGCGACATCGAATCTGTCACGCGCTGGGAAGGAGCTTGTGTAAGTCAAAGGTAAACCACTCTCCACTCTCTATATGAATTATTGCCCTTGACAGGAAAAGGTCACGGTCATTGTGTTGGAATGCAAAAACACGGCGCGTGTTACAACAGAAATACACAAAAAAGGTATTTTGTTCCAGGTACATTTTGCATGGAATGATTGTTAACCCATCATCTGTTGTCAACTCACTGTCAGGCATTAGTCATAATTGGGTTTGGACATGCAAGGTGGACACCACTCGGTTAGTGGCCAGAAATATATACAGTAGAACCAACAATATCGGGGTCAAACGATACAGCAAGGTCACGATACGATACGTATCACGATACACATATTTGGGTCAAAGTCGCGTGGAAAACTCGATATTTCAGAGCAGGCTCTAAAGGTAAAAGTTGCAGCAGACACATGTTCGAAGCCGCAATGTTTGTGAGTTAACTTTAAACGCTTACTTCAACACATCTGCGATATGTAACTGCACAAAACAGTGGGAGTCATTAAACGAGTAGTAAGTTTAGCAAGACTTTTGTGTATCGTCGTGTATCGATATAAACTGGTTCCAGTGTTGGTACGCGACGCAAGTGTAGCGCGATATACTAGTTTTAGTAGACAGGACCCCAGTCTAGTATCGACACAGAAAATAACTTTTCGTGTATCGTATCGTCGCATGAGAACTCACTGTGCACCATATATTTAAGGTATTCCAAGTTGTGATCAAAAGGATATCATTTGTGGCAATTATTCCGGGACATGCAAGCTACGGAAAGCAACGAGACGCGGCGATCGCTGATGGATCTCCATGGAGACCGTTGCTACTTCCGTTATTCACAAACGACGCCATTTTGGTTGTTGCTGCTGCACTTTGTTTCCACGTCTGTGTTTGCATTTTGCTCATTATCCCGCACGTATCGCACGTTCTTCACGATGTATGCCACTGTTGCTTTGGTTTATCATCAAGGTATCTAGTAGTGGTCTCAGTGTTAACTTAATTTTGTTTTTTTATCTTGATTTCAAAGCTTAGAGAGTGATACCTTTTGACGGATTGCATTCCCAACTTGAATCCTGTCCTAAACATTTGGTAACAATAAAAGTGAAAGAGAATGACAGACATACTCATTTACAGATGGGACATTTCATGTACTTCGACGGTCCCTGGTATATGTCTATGTACTTTGTATTTTACAATTGATCTTTTGTGAAGTGAATGTGTATGGATGTTATTTATATGAATATCAATTCAATTCCTATGGTAAAATCATATTAATCATTGTCAAGTATCATGATATATGATCAAAGTAACAATAGATCTGTGTTTCCCCTTTTCTTCCCGTGGTAATGGGATGCAGTCAGTAAGACATGATTTGTGTAGGTTTTCATATGTGGTGTCAAGCGGAGGGACTTGAAAAGTATAGGTCTCTCTTGTCCCAAAATGTCCAGTGACCATTTTACCTCAACCTAACTTCCTGGCACAGAACCCTGCAACGTTTGAATAATTTGCTGAGGCTCCTAAACACACACAGGAATTATGTTTCTATAAAAACAACCCATCTATGTTATAGTCTATACAATGAGGATGGATGTTGTTTTTTATTTTATTTATTCCATTATAGCTCAGGACGATCTCCACAGGTTTAGGACCTACCAGGCCCCCGTCTCCCAAACGACTCTTCCTGTCCCTGATCCTGTAGGTCATCATTGGGTTCAAGTTGTTTGAATGTGTCCTATTAGTATCAGAAAAAAACAAATTCGAGAACCTTTGCAACTTACATTAGTTCGAAACATGTCATCTGTGTTAAACATTATCAGGACAACTATACATATTATATAGTCACGAAGCTTTTAATAATCAGAACTCATTTCTAACATACAACATAAGAAAGTTGACTTGCATTTTTCTACCACTCCCTTATTCTGTAATACATATGATAAAACTACTTCCGTTTCCCTATACAAGACCTTTTCACAAACAACTTGTATCACCACTATTTGCTAGTGATTGAAAAACACATGCTCATGACCAGGGCTCGATTTAACTAAAATAAAAGCACAAGTGCCCTCTGATATGGAAAAATGTAGCCTATTATTTATCTATACTTGCACCCAGTGCATGTACAAATTTTACAAATTTGTTACTGACTTACTAAAAAAGCTTTCTACACTTACATCTTTGAACTCAATACACTTTTTGTACCATACTACATCACATTCCCAATGTTTTGAGTAATTTGACATTGTCCTTTTGGCTTTTCGTCATGAACCTTATCAGGTCAGCCTTATGATAAGAACAAGAATGCAAACAAATATGTGGGATGTATAAGTGATTCCATTCAAAGTGATCTTGTCAATGAACTGAAAATGTCAAAATATTAATGACACTGATTTCATTCTGGTATTTGAGATGATATTTTCTTTATTATGTAATAGTTTCCAATATGAGTGCAATCGGTTTAGTCTAGTGAAAAATGGTTGGGATGTCAACTTGCACCAGGTGCAAGCTATATCTAATTCCTAAATCGTGCCCTGACTCTCATGATACTGTCGGAATCGTACAAATACAGATTTTCTGTGATTACATTTGTGTTGCATTTCTCTATGTTAGTCGGTAGGCGGTATACCCTCACTTGCTATTTGTTTAAATATCCAGATAAAGTAGGTACAAAATGGTCGACCTTTTCATGTTTTTTTCATACACGCTTAACTGTGGATTGATACTGATTTCAATGATTTAAGAACATCTATTTCCTCTCTGTAAGCGCCCCAGTGTCTTCACGATCACCGTCAACCCCCTCTCATCCCAGCCCGAACCCCAGACCTCCCTCCCCGTCCCTGCCCTCAGAGCCCGCCCTCAAGTTGTGGAGATAGATCTTGGTGAAGAATCCAAGCAGCCCCAGTCATGCTCGGCCGTCCTTGTGTCCTGTGTGAAATACATTTTCCAGAGTTTCTTCACGGAGGGATAGACTTTGGAGTTGTTTGCTGTGCTAATGTTGTGTGAACTACTAGTTTTAGGAACTTTTGGACTAACCATTTGGACTATTTGGGACTATTTTTGATAACATACATTTTGTTTCATACATGAATTAAAATTTATATAATATTCTGCTTAAAATGTATGTGATAAACGCTGTTGCTTGAAGAACGTGTCGTGTACATTCATGTTTTCTGCATTCCTTGTTATGAAAACTGAAATCAAGAGATGGCTTCGCATGCGGTCCATGCCAAATTGTCGCTTCAACTAACCTATTGCTATTTTAAGAGTTGATCAAAATGGGGATCGGGTAGATGAAATGGTGCTTCATTTTTTAAGGATTTGTTTACTATGTCAGTGCAGAAAAATGAAAACAAACAAAACCTCGAAGAAGGTCGAGCTCCAGCACAAAGAAGCAGCAGTCACTGCGGCCAAGCAGTCGTTATTTAAGAGATAATTACAATGAGGATCGGATGGTTACATTGTCGGTACTCCTAATTACTATTATTCATGCTTTCCAATGCTGCAATTATCTCTTACAGAGCCCGAGGTTGAAATGTGAACGTTGAACTCCCACGTATCAGGCCTGTTGGTAAACAAAAATCTTGCTGTCAGAATCTGAACAGCTATTATTGATGGAAGACATCAGTTCAAAAATGGATAAAAGCTTAATTAATTTAGTTTTGTTACCTCACCAAAATATTCCAAGATTGTAATGATTCAAGTATACAAGTTACAGTTATCACAAGTCGCATGTGATTTATTGTCCCTATAACATAATACAGTTTACAGATTTTTCTATCCGGGGGGTCAAAGGTCATTCCGACGTCACAGTCAAGGGCTTTTACCTACCAATGTCTACAGGGATCGTTCTAGAATCGATCCCATATGATGATTTAATCCCATGCTTTAATTACTTAGATCGCATTTCGACAGCTCTAGGAGATGTGGCGTCCTCAAGTTTCAAAGTTTATTGTACAATTTCATTATTTTAACAGTTCAGATATATCACTCGTGGGAAGGATACGGACAAGTACCGGATTCCAGAGCCACGTTGTGACAGACAATGCCGAGCGACTGATGTTTCCAGTACCGTTGACAGCTAGTATCGTGTCCGCGATCTCGAGACTTTGTACAAACTTTTCAGTTCAGTGATTAATTAATAAACTCGTTATTGAACTTAAACCTCCTTGTTGTGTGATCCTTCTGCATTTCGACAGTTTCGACGTTCGCTACTTGTAGATCTTTGTGATATATTTTCGCGAAAACTCGTCTCCAAGCTCTGGAATTTATTTTGTCACACTTTATAACTTGTGGCAGCATCCATATATTTTCGTAGTTTATCCACTAGAAAATATGATTCAATGCACGGAGACAATACAAAGAGGTCTCTATATAGACTCTCTGCTTCAATGAGAAACATTAGAAAGCTGCTTTCTGAATGGCTAATGTCGACTAATTGTCGGTCAAAGTTCGCGAAAGGTCGTTCTATGTCCATTATCACAGATACCCATGTAAATATACCTACAAGTAGTAATGTGGGTTTCAGGCTATCATAGATGTTGCGAATTTGAAAAAGTACATAAGCTTTCATATGGAAAAAAGTTTGCTTCATTTGGATTGTCATTCCGAGTTGTAGGATATCAACTTATTATGAAATACTAAGCTTGATAATGGTGTTAGAACCTACACCGAAACGTCGCTCCTAATCGTAATAAGGAAGTTGTTCATCCATATTATATCTTGTCCTTACTTGGTACTCCAACTTCTAAATGCCTCTCAAAGAAACATATTATGACATAAAGTTGGCTTGCACAATCGTTTATAAACAGTGAAAGTAGTCCCTACTTGCATCTCTATCCGCATATGACCCGAGCAGACATAGTTTCCTGCCGAGAAACCCACCCATTATATGATAAATCCTATTATATTCATCAAGTCTTGTCCAAAACAAAATGTACCACTTACTCAACGTGAAAAAAATGTATACTGTACTAAGGGTCCATGGCTAAATGCCATAGGTTCTGGAAATCAGTTATTATTGTATCACAAATTAATATTATTTCTTGTGCACGGATGTTCTTGAGAAATATGTTGGTACAGAAAGAATGGCCCAATTCGACTGGAGGTGATTTACACGGAAAGTTGAAAACGAAGAATTCACTTACATGATACGTGTCTCTTTCCTCAAACAAATATTCAAAATAGTGTTATCATATATTTATCAGACCACAGAGATTAGACGTCGACATGATTGCTCGTAAAATTGGTTAGCAGAGATTATGTAATGTAATGCACAAGGCCTTAGGCACCGACCTTCTTTATCGAAGAAAAGAAACTGACTCAGAAAATGCGTGAAAGTGTATGAATCAGACTTGTAAAAAAAGAATATGTCTGCCACAAAAAACTCGACTTTTAACAGACCGCCGCCACATAGCTGAAATATTGCTGAGTGCGGCGTTAAACAACAAACAAACAAAGTCGGGGATTAACCACGTGATCAAAACTCAATGGTGATGTATATCGCCAACAAAATGGATATTTCTTTATTTCTAAGCGCATTTTGCAATTTTTGTAATATAAGTAATATTCCTAATAGCTGGAATAGCTTCTTATAAATCTTTTCACTTTATAAGCATTATTACACTCCATTCACTCAACTCTCCAGCCTTGCGAAAATAGACTGGAATTTCTGGGCTCGAACGTAGAGCCACCAGTGGCTATTACGACTTATGTCCGTCCCTTCGATTGACCAATGAGAGTCCACATCTCATATCACTTGAATTTGCTTCGAACAAAATAGCGGCGCCCAGTCAAGACGATTTTTGTAAGCTTAACGCCACTTCTTGGAAAAACATTCCTGAATTAGGTTTGTAGTATTATTATCTATATTATATATTTATATTATTTATATGTCATATTATTTAAATATACTGAAGCCTTATCATATGGAAATCACTATTATTTGTATACGGTATGTACGTATTTCTTCTTTGTAAAAGATGCGACGTGCGACACTCTAATATTTCTTTTACTCTCTATCTCTCCTAATAAATATGACATTGTTTTGTATCAAATATTTCTTTCAATATTGCTTCAATGTTGAGTCACTTCATGGGCGTTTATTCTTTAAACAAGGCAACTCGTCAAACTTAGTAAATACACAAGTAATGTGATGAAAATGTATTTTGCCATTCAGATTTTGTTCTACGTTTCCAAGGCAACAGTTTAAGTCGATTTCATTCGGAAATGAAGTTTGGATTCTTTCCGGAGCAGTAGTCATAATCTGTTTAATATTTATATAAAACTTCACATACACATTAGGCAAGTGCTTAACAGGGTAGATACACGATCTACCAGGACAAGGAATACGTGCATTATATGGCATTATATGAAACATACACACATAAAGTACAGGATGTTCCGTAACTGCGACGTGGTTTATGCAATCGATAATTTGGGAAGAAATGTTATGGGAATCAACCTACTTAGATTGCAAACCGACCTTATATATCTTGAGTATTTTTATTTTATTTTTTTACAATAAACTTCCATCGTTTTTTTGTTTTGTTTTTGTATCATTCATAATGGAATATTCATTCATGGACTAAATGATTTTCAAACAGCATGACATCCAGTTATACACCATCGGAAAAGTACTCACTCCATTAGACGCTATATATTCCAAACGTTGTACTCGTCAAGCTCCTCACAGCGACATCGAATCTGTCACGCGCTGGGAAGGAGCTTGTGTAAGTCAAAGGGAAACCACTCTACACACTCTATATGAATTATTGCCCTTGACAGGAAAAGGTCACGGTCATTGTGTTGGAATGCAAACACACGGCGCGTGTTACAACAGAAATACACAAAAAAGGTATTTTGTTCCAGGTACATTTTGTATGGAATGATTGTTACCCCATCATCTGTTGTCAACTCACTGTCAGGCATTAGTCATAATCGTGGTTTGGACATGCAAGGTGGACACCACTCGGTTAGTGGCCAGAAATATATATATACAGTAGAACCAACAATATCGGGGTCAAACGATACAGCAAGGTCACTATACGATACGTATCACGATACATATTAGGTCACGATACGATACGTATCGCGATACACATATATGGGTCAAAATCGCGTGGAAACTCGATATTTCAGAGCAGGCTCTAAAGGTAAAAGTTGCAGCAGACACATGTTCGAAGCCGCAATGTTTGTGAGTTAACTTTAAACACTTACTTCAACACAGCTGCGATATGTAACTGCACAAAACAGTGGGAGTCATTAAACGAGTAGTAAGTTTATCGTCGTGTGTCGATATAAACTGGTTCCAGTGTTGGTACGCGACGCAAGCTTAGCGCGATATACTAGTTTTAGTAGACAGGACCCCAGTCTAGTATCAACACAGAAAATAACTTTTCGTGTATCTTATCGTCGCATGAGAACTCACTGTGCACCATATATTTAAGGTATTCCAAGTTGTGATCAAAAGGATATCATTTGTGGCAATTATTCCGGGACATGCAAGCTACGGAAAGCAACGAGACGCGGCGATCGCTGATGGATCTCCATGGAGACCGTTGCTACTTCCGTTATTCACAAACGACGCCATTTTGGTTGTTGCTGCTGCACTTTGTTTCCACGTCTGTGTTTGCATTTTGCTCATTATCCCGCACGTATCGCACGTTCTTCACGATGTATGCCACTGTTGCTTTGGTTTATCATCAAGGTATCTAGTAGTGGTCTCAGTGTTAACTTAATTTTGTTTTTTTTATCTTGATTTCAAAGCTTAGAGAGTGATACCTTTTGGCGGGTTGCATTCCCAACTTGAATCCTGTCCTAAACATTTGGTAACAATAAAAGTGAAAGAGAATGACAGACATACTCATTTACAGATGGGACATTTCATGTACTTCGACGGTCCCTGGTATATGTCTATGTACTTTGTATTTTACAATTGATCTTTTGTGAAGTGAATGTGTATGAATGTTATTAATATGAATAGTACCAATCACAGGAGTCCGTATCTAAAAATAGACGCCCTCATGCATATTCATGACCATCTCCACACGCGAGCCCGTGTGTGGAGATGGTCATGAATATGCATGAGGGCGTCTATTTTTAGATACGGACTCCTGTGTACCAATTCAATTCCTATGGTAAAATCATATTAATCATTGTCAAGTATCATGATATATGATCAAAGTAACAATAGATCTGTGTTTCCCCTTTTCTTCCCGTGGTAATGGGATGCAGTCAGTAAGACATGATTTGTGTAGGTTTTCATATGTGGTGTCAAGGG